ATATTCTTATGGATTGAATGGAATTTTATGCAAACATCTGTGTTAAAGGGTTGTGAGAAAGAAGTCATTAGCTATTTGTGTTAAAGGGGTTCGCTCTGTGGGTCTCTGCGGATCATCATGGTGAAAGGAATGGGACATTTGGTTATAGTCCCAATGTTTTCATATATGTATGCTATTAAAGAGATTATATATATATATTATATTATATTATACATATAGCTAGACACAAACACACCTAAGTTCATACCATCCACCTCCATCATGTCATCATTTACCACATTTCATTTTCACAACATTTCATATCATTTCATCACAGTATCAACACAAAATAAAACCACATCATTTCATACATCATCATCCCACATCATTTCATCATCATCCATCATCACATAAATTCAAATCATAAAATTTCATAATATTTCATCATAATATGTCATCATAAATTTCATCATAATATGTTATCATAATACAATGCCATAAAAAATATCATAAATCTAAATCATCCATCTCTAACATGCCTATGTTCGTATCATATTTGTCATATATTTTGATATGAAAATTTATGGGGTTTAAGTCTTTTAAAGTTCTTTGGTGTATTGGTTTTCCAGATTTGTTTCAATTTCGCAATTCTGGCTTCATCATCTTTTAAGTATTCCTCCATCTCTTTTTGTTTTTTCTCTTCTTCCTTTTTGAGTTTTTCCTTGTTGATATCCCTGTCGAGTTTAAGATGTTTGGACAACCTGCATTGTTTCACATTCTGCTGGCAAATGTCTCAAAATACTTCCTTTTGATTATAATATACTGTGTTACTATCCTTTTGTTTGTCCAAGCATTCAATACACATTCTATACATTCCATTGAACTCGTCACCATTTTTATTTTTCTTACACTTTGTGCACTTTCTACTCTCCATACTATTATAAGGTATTATCCTTTTAAGTGTATTTCCTTATATCATAAAAAATCATCCAAATCTTTTTGCCAAAAATCATCATAGATTTCATTTATTTTTGTTCTATTCCTTTCCCTCTTCTGTATCTTTACCTCATGCTCTTTTGCGTATCTGCAAAAAGATATTGTATTTGAAAATTATGTCAATGCAATTGTCAACATACTCCTCTCCATTTTGGTTGTTGGTGCAGGGCTCTATGCCTCTATGCTTGGAAGTTGTTTGACATCACCTGCACCCATTACAATCAAATGAGGGTTTTCATTGCAGAAGACTCTTATCTTATTCAAGATATAAGGACTTGACATATAGATTTCATCAAAAAAAATACATCATAACCGTTCTAATCATATTTTGGTAGCCTGCTTTCCCCCTTACACACAGGAACACTGAAGAATGTATTTCGGGTGACTGCATCGCATGGAACATCTTGCTTTTGCACATTGTGAGGAACAACAAAAAGTGTATTATAAGTTAGGTCGTTGAAATGTTTTCCAAAGAAACTCTTACCACTTCCTGCAAATTTTGCCCTAATCATGACTCTTTTCTTCCTTATTGCTGTTTTTCTAAATTGCTTCTGTGTCCCATTCATCTTGAACCAATCCTTTCGCTTTTGTAAATCGGTATTTTTGGAATCTCATTGTTTTTCCATCCATAGACTTCGGGAACAGGAACGACTTTCTTATCTTCCACTCTTCAGCCTCCTATGTCATTATGAAAATTCAATATCTTTTTAGCTTTCTTTAAGTCCCTCTTTGCTATGTGAAAGGCATCAGTCTTTACAGCGTAAACATTGATGTTTGCCTCCTTCAACTTCTCATACGCATCATACATATGAAAGTTATGATTTTGTAACAGTAGTTCTTTGATATACCTAAATCCGTTCATCAACTGCCTTTGGTCACTGACACTGACTATATGATATTTGGCGGTCTCGCTTTTCTTCTCTATCTTTTGGTTGAATGAATCATTTTCACAGTAGTAGGTTTTGCCATCCTCGACGTTATACTCAAAATCTGTAAAACACGCACCGCCATTCACATGTCCAAAAAAAGGGTTGTTGTTCTCATCAACTTCGATAGTCCAATCTTCTTCTAATTCTCTCCATCTAAAATATTCCTCATACTCTTCTTCGTTCATTGCGTAAATCCTCCCATCATATTTTTTCTGCTGCTGTAATGCCTCCTTAATCAAAAATCCTACTGACCGTTTTTCTATTGTAAGACTTCTCAAGCAAACCAAAGGCTACATTAGCAAGAGTTTTCAAGACGTTTGATTCTCAAACTTGTCATCACTAATCACTGTTTTATATAAATCTTCAACCGCTTTCTTATACTTCACTCTGTGAATGTATGAAGGTACTTTGTAAAATAGTATCTTCATTGCCATCCCTCTCTTAATCAATTCCTTCAGGTGCTTCCCATACACCAGATTGTTATTTTTGTTAAAAAAACAAATGTTGCCCTGACATGCCCTCACTATGAACAAGGTGTAGTTTTTGAATTTGTTAAAGTCATTTTTTTTTGGAGTATGGCTTCCATACATCAAAATCGTTGAACACTGGAATGTGTGTAATCGTTGTTGCTTGGTATGAGTAAACTTTCCGTGTGTCGATGCTACACATATCTTCAGGGGCAAGGACAGGTTCATAGCCCTTGCTATCATAGTCTTTTGCCTTTAACAACCTTCCATTAGGAACAATGGTTCTGCATTCATCCAATGCTTTAAGGTCAGTTTCGTTATAGTATGACTTATGATTTTCACTGAAAATTGACTCATGAAACTTGAACATTGTCGCGCTGACTTTGTTGTATTATTCCTCTGTTTCCACCAAGATATCATCATTGATTCTATCATGGTCACGGTGCTGTGTTACAATGCTGTAGGTTACCGTTTTCTGTTTCTTGCCTATCTTGTGTGTTAAATCAGACTTGATTTCTACTGCCCTACCTGCTGTGTGCCTAACCTGTGGTTCATATCCTGCTCTTTTCATGTCATACATTGCTTTGTTCAAATCATTGCCTTTTTAAAACTAATCTGTATTCCTCTTCATCCTTTAAACTCATCACATCATCGATACCATCAATCATTTTGTATTTAAGAGGTTCTTCTCTGTGGTTGATGTAATAGTTGTTTCCAATCCTGAACTTGTAGAGTTCATCAACACTATCTTTCCTTTTAAGTAATTTCAGGTTATAGTTCAAAGTGTATATGTGGCTGTTCTTAATCAATACGTTGAAAGTTATATAGCTATGGCAGTTAAAGTTTACAGGGTTATGTTTGTAAATCAAGTTGCTGTCACTATCATATAACCTTGCTTGGACATTGAAATGTTTAAAAACTTTATCAAATTCATTGGCTGATGACTCTGCCGCAGCCACTCAGCCACTCAGCCGCTCTGCCAGAGTGGCTGGAGGAGCCACTCAGCCACTCTGCCAGAGTGGCTGGAGCAGCCACTCAGCCACTCAGCCACTCTGCCAGAGTAGCTGGAGCAGCCACTCTGCCAGAGTGGCTGGAGCAGCCACTCTGCCAGAGTGGCTGGATCAGCCCATCAGCCACGCAGTGGCTGGAGCAGCCACTCAGCCACTCTGGCAGAGTGGCTGGAGGAGCCACTCAGCCACTCAGCCACTCTCTTAGAGTGGCTGGAGCAGCCACTCAGCCACTCAGCCACTCTGCCAGAGCGGCCGGAGGAGCCACTCAGCCACTCAGCCACGCTGCCAGAGTGGCTGGAGCAGCCACTCAGCCACTCTGCCAGAGTGGCTGGAGCAGCCACTCAGCCACTCAGAGTGGCTGAGTGGCTGAGTGGCTGGGGTGAAAATTTCCGCCATTGCGCGTTCAATCTGATAAGATGGAGCTGGAAAAGGCAATCACAACTGAACTTTAAAGTAGTTTTGAAAAAGAAACGGATAGATAAGAAAGCATTCAGGATGAATTACTTGCATCTATTTAATGTACATGTTCTTTTTCTCCATCCATCTGCCTTTCGTTACGCCCGACCGCCCAACTCTTCATCGTGACCCCGTCCATCACCCCAACTTCATTTAACTCTCTCCCCTCCATCCCTGCTCACTCCTCTCCACACTTTCTGCCCCTAAAATTCTTTTCGGACAGAGGAATGAAGGTATTGAGCGGAGATGGACATGTAGAAGGGTGGAGAGGGGGAGAGAAGAGAAAAAATTGCGGCAAAGTGAAAAGGGAAGGAGAGAATCCCAAGCAGTACATAACGCGAAGGATGTGAATAAATACAGTACTGTAGGTGTATCCTTATATTTGGTAGCAATTTTTGATCACCTTCTCCACACCCCACCCTTCATTCCACCATCGCTCCACCCTCGCTCCACCCTCGCATCACCCTAGCATCACCTTCACCCAACCTTCCCAACCATATCCACCCCTTCCACCTACCCTTCCACCCACAACTTTCCACCTACTTCACCCCCTTTCTGTGTCTTTCGGGGAGGGCAAGAAGCTGTGGAGAAGCGGCGAGGCAAGGCGTAGAGAATCCCAACAGGTGGGAAAACATTGGCACATGCAGAAAGCAATGAAAAGCATACACTTTACATTGCATGCGAGACAAACATGCCTTAGCCCGCCCTGTGATTTGTAATGGCGCCGCTGTTTTTGGATCGTGTCCAAAGAGAATTATTCCAACGAAAGTTGGAAATAGCTTCAAAGAGAAATTTAAAGGGAAATTGATCTGTGCAAGCAAATTTCAGAAGGAACCGGAAAAGATCATTTCAATTGAAATTTAAGCTACTTTTGAAAAGGACATGTACAAAGGCTAGATAAGGGCACAGCCAGAATGAAGATATGACAGTACACTTGAAGGAAAGCTATGAATGAGGATATCGGATCTTTAGGCTAGATATTCCAAAGGTAAATAGAAACTCAGAACAATGATAAAAGTTTGACTGGCACTTGCAAGAAGATTTTCCTCTCCTTTCACCTCATCTCTCTGCTCGACCCTTCATTATAACCCTGTCCATCACCCCAACTTCACTTAACCCTCGCCGTTTTTACATCTCTTTTCACTCCTCCATCCTTTCAGCCCCTAACATTCTCCTTGGAACAGGAACGGAAGGAGAGAAGAGAAGCAGCCGTGGAGAAGTGAAAAAGGCAAGGAGTAGCGAATTCAAAAAACGGTGAAGAACGCAAGCAATGTAAATAAATATGCATCGTTTTCAAGTTTGTGCAACCTTCTCCACCCTTCATTGAGCCCTTGCTGCCCTTGCTCGATCTTTGCTTCACCCTCGCTCCACCCTCACTCCATCCTGGCCGGACCATGGCATCACGCTTCCTACCAATCTCCTAACCCCTGCGCACTCGCAATCCGCCCCCTTTCCATTCACACTTTACCACCTACCCATGTTTAGGCCTTTTCACCTCATTTTCAGCCTCTTTCTTCTTTGTAGGTGGAGAGGGGGGAAGGCAAGAAGCTGTGGAAAAGCGGCGAGGCAAAGCGCAGATAAAGAGAGGAAAAGCACAAGTGGACAGGTATCAATGAGACAAGCATTGGCACATAAAGAAAAGCAATGAAAAGCACACACTTTAATGTGGTAAGCCCAACAAGAAACCAGCACCAAAATCATTATAATTGGATTGTATAGAAAAACCCCAAATGAGGTTCTTTGCCATGTAACATCGCCTGCGCAGTTCTTTGCCACATTACATTGCCTGCGCAAAAACCATGGCCCCACCCTCTGCCTTTCAAAATGTGGCCGCCAATTTTGGATCATGTCTAAAGAGAATTATTCCAACGAAAACTGAAAATTTAAAGAGAAACTAGAAGACAATTTTGTTCTGTTCTTTGACAGCAAATTGAACATGGAGCTGGACAAGACAATTTCAACTGAAATTCAAATAGGTTTTGAAAGAAATTGCTAAATAGATAAAAGAGCAGTCCGGATGAATTGTTCATGTATGTGTTGTATTTTGTTTCTCTCCACCCATTTGCCTTTCACCACACCGCACCGCCCAACCCTTCATCGCGACCCTGCCCATCACCTCAATTTCATTTAACCCTCTCCGCTTTCCATGCATGCTCACTCCTCTTCACCCCTTTGTCCCCTAGCACCTTATCTTCAGAACAGGAATGAAGGTGTTGAGTGGAGGCAGAGATGGACATGTAGAAGGGTGGAGAGGGGGATGGAAGAGAAAAAGTTTGCGGAGAAGTGAAAAGGCAAGGGAAAAAGCACAAGCAGTGGATCAAGCAAAAAACGAAATAAATATGCATCGTTTGTATCAATTTTTGGCGACCTTCTCCACCCTTCACTCCACCCTTCACTCCACCCTTCACTCCACCCTTCACTCCACCCTTCACTCCACCCTTCACTCCACCCCCGCTCCGCCCTCGCTCCCCCCACAGAAAAAGCAATGAAAAGCATGCACTTTTACATTGCCTGAGAGGCAAAATGCCTTAGTCCATCCTATGCTTTGTATTTGCACTGCTGCTTTTGAAACATGTCTTAAGAGATTTGTTCCAAGGCACATTGAAAAGTATGTCCAAAAAAGAAAGTAGACATACATTTTTTTGATCTATGCAAGCCAATATAAGATGGAGCTGGAAAAGGCAATCACAATTGAACTTTAAAGTAGTTTTGAAAAAAGAAACGGCTAGATAAGAAAGCAGTCAGGATGAATTACTTGCGTCTATCTAATGTACATGTTCTTTTTCTCCATCCATCTGCCTTTCGCTACGCCCACCGCCCAACTCTTCATCGTGACCCCGCCCATCACCCCAACTTCATTTAATTCTCTCCGCTTTCCATCCCTGCTCACTCCTCTCCACACTTTCTGCCCCGAAGATTCTTTTCGGAAAGAGGAATGAGGGTATTGAGCGGAGATGGACATGTAGAAGGGTCGGAAACGGAAAGAGGAATGAGGGTATTGAGCGGAGATGGACATGTAGAAGGGTGGAGAGGGGGAGAGAAGAGAAAAAGCCGCGGGAAAGTGAAAAGGGAAGGAGAGAATCCCAAGGAGTGGATCGCGCAAAGATGTGAATAAATACAGTAGATGTATCCTTGTACTTGGTATCAATTTTTGATCACCTTCTCCACACCTCACCCTTCATTCCACCATCGCTCCAACCTCGCTCCACCCTCGCATCACCCTAGCATCATCTTCACCCAACCTCTCCAACCATATCCACCCCTTCCACCTACCCTTCCACCCACAACTTTCCACCTGCTTCACCCCCTTTCTTCGTCTTTCTCCTTTGTAGGTGGAGAGGGGGGAAGGGCAAGAAGCTGTGGAGAAGCGGCGAGGAAAGGCGTAGAGAATCCCAAGAGGTGGGAAGACATTGGCACATGCAGAAAAGCAATGAAAAGCATACACTTTACATTGCATGCGAGACAAAATGCCTTGGCCCGCCCTATGCTTTATAATTCCGCTTCCGTTTTTGAACCGTGTCCAAATAGAATTATTCCAACGAACATTTGAAATAGCTTTAAAAGGAAATAAATTGATATTTGCAAGCAAATTTCAGAAGGAACCGGAAAAAGACAATTTCATTAGGAATTTAGATTTCGGAAAGGAAATCTACAAAGGCCAGGATAAATAAGACAGCAAACTTGAAGGAAAGCCAAAGGAAATGCAGCCATGAATTTATAGAAACATTGAAAAGGAGATGAATATGGAGATCGGATTTTAGACTAGCCTTTCTTATGGAATTGTAATTGAGGTCCTCAGAAGCGAGATCCAGAACCCCGTCATTCTATACATAAAGGTCCCCTCCACATATATATATATATATGTGTGTATATATATATATAATATATTAATATATATATATATAATTCTATTGGGCATGACTGGGTCACGCCATGACTTGACCCATCCATACCACGTTTACAATTTCCCACTTGATTTGGCATGACCAAAATTGAGCACTCAGTGCTGGACCATGCAGAAAAGGTGGATGGCTGCCTGCCAAAGGGAGGTGGCAGCACATCTATATTGGCCAGTGGATTGCTCAGATGAAGAGTCTGCAGCCATGGATTGGTATCAGTCCAGCTTCGTATAAAATGAGGAATCGATCCAATTTGAAAATCTCACAGCTGCGCCTGACCCAGCATGGAGATGAATACCGCTGGGTGAAAAAGTGAACGTAATGGACGAACAGGGTGCATCCTATCACCTTGCCAACATGTTCACTGATAGATGTTCAAATCAGTCAGGAGAAAATGCGAAATTGAACAAACCTCAGAATGTCATCTCAAACGCTCTGGAATTCAAGCGCTGTCATGTGAGAAGCCATGACCAGCCATCAAGATGAGTCAAAATGAGGTGGCTCACATGATGCTTTTGGTTTATATATGATATATATATGTCATTATGTGTCAATATTCGCCTAACATATCCCCAAGAGTGGGCTTCCAACCATGGCTAGTCTAGCTGGTCTTGTGATCCCATCCTGAACATCCTGAGCAGCCGGCAGGGCGTTGCATACGTAAAGGCCAAAGATGCCGTCGTCAACAGCCATGAGGATGTGATCATCTGCCTCGCATTGCAATTGCCGTGGCATTGCTAAAGGCAGAATGATACAGAATGCAAATACCTGTCGGGAAATTGAGAACAATCACAAAAATAAATACCCCATGGATACAGATATATATATATGAATGTCTTACAACAAAAGACAATCTCGATATGCGTGTATAACAATATGATAATATAATAGTATATATGTATACCTTAGACACCTAGGTACATTTAAAAGCAGAAAGCCCGTGCCTTTCTGATGAACGAGACCCTTCTAGCGAGAGAGCTGACAACACATAGGCATTGATGATGCAGTTCAACCTCCGCTAACTTGCCAATTCTACAAATGCATCAGCTGAAGCAGTCGAAGCTTGTAGATATGTTCAACATGTGAAACTGAGAGATCAACATAAGTAAGAAACATCCACAGGCTCCCGTCGCACCAGCATTTCTGCTTGTCACAACTTGGATTCTGACATCATGATCTGTTGTTGCTGTAGAGCCTTCCAGCATCGGATCATCCGATGGTCCCACAAGTTTGTTTACACGGCTTCGCAAAAACCATCAAAAACCATCAGAGTCTGTCCAGTGTCCAGCACTGAGAGGTGCACCGACAAGAGCGTGCATCGACCTTGTCGAATCAAGTCCACGCAATTCTTCACAGAAGGTGCCTGTCGAAACAGTCGAAAAATGGCCAGGTGAAGGCAAAGAGTGATCTTATGATAGCGCAACACCGATGCTGCGACAACCACAAGCGGCTTAAGTGATGGCGTTGCGGTCACATCATCAATCTTTGGAAACAAAACTCCTTTCTTATCTTTCTTCGTGTTCAAGCTGCTGTGATCTTGAAAGGTACGTTTCCTAGTCCTATCTGCAGGGACCATGCAACCTATGCAACCTGAAGTCCTCAAGTCCTGACCGTAGCAACCCATCCAATCCTTGGTAGTGAAAGGAGCAGCGATCGAAGCATCGCCTGGCCTCCGAGGTGTCTGGTGATTTTGGGCGTTGATTCGGTAGATTTGCCAGGGAAACATCCTGCAATTCACGATTTGATCATGATTTGCCATGACTAGATCTTGGAAGGGATTTTTTTTGGGAGGAAATCCGACATCACCATCATCACCTGGCAACATGAAGAGATCCCACTGGACTTTGGGTCAAGTCGCCCTCAAAAAAATCCAGGTGCCACGCCTGACCATTGGCAGACCGCCATGATCCATTCCCTCCAGCATCTGCGAGCAGCAAGGGGGCCCTAAACCCATTTGAGATTGGCACATCACTAAATCCATCTAAATCCAATCCACATCGCAACATCCTGGTGTATATTGGTATACTACCATTATCTTGCAGTATCATTCCAAATATTTCCAGATCTCATCGGACATGATTTAATGTTTTCTCAGGTCTGTTTCTTGCAGAACTAGAAGAACTGCATATGGTTGCAAGCTCATAATTTTCATCACGGGACTAGAGTTGATTAAGAAAGGTCACTCTTTCTGGTGCAAACAGCAATTCTGTCGCCCTTCATTCATTTCATGAACAATTCGATGCTTCTGGCTTCTGGTCCACCAAACTTTCAGTGTCCGGGAACCAATGTGCTCAGTCATCTTAAATGATCTTGAATGAAGAAAGTGCACACCTTGGCTGATTAAAGCAACCCATCATCAACAAAGCGAAAGGCGGTTTCCAACGCGTTTCTCGCGCACCGCTGCAGGGTCTTTTGGAGCTGACTGTCCGGATTCCTTCTCCTGCGGTTTTCAGGGGACATACAAGACATCTGTCCGGCAAAACGCCTGATGTGTTTTTTGCACTTTCACGAATACTGTCCCATACAGAGAGGACCAACAACCTACAGTACATACAAAGAAATAGTAATTATATCATATGTATATATGTATATATATATATGTGGTCCAGCGTTCCAACCCCCCTCCCCCCCATCCATGGTCATGGGTCAGCCATAATACTGTTCCCCTCCCCCCTGTGGTGTGGTGGGGGTGCCGTTATATATATATATATATATGTATAAATATATATATATATATGTGTGTGTGTAAATATGTATGTGTATATATATATATGTAAGTGTATATATGTATGTAAGTGTGTATATCTAAATATGTATATGTATATGGATATATGTATATATATATATATGTATGTATATGAACATGTATATATATATAAATGTACATATAAAAATATGAATATGGGTATATATATATATACATATGTGTGTGTGTGTATGTATGTGTATATATATGTATGTGTCTATAATATAAATATATATATATATGAAGTAGATACATAGCACGTGTATATATAACTATAGGTAGCACGTAGGTACTTTGAGGGAGTATGTGTGCCTACGTAGGTCGTCTAAAAGGTAGCATGTACCTAGTAAATGCGAGGCTGGTAGTCAGAATCGCTGCAAAAACCTAGCAATACGAGGCTAGACCTCAGAAATGCTGCCAATAGCTTGCAAATAGAAGGGAACGGGGTGCTACCTGGGGACCCATACCATTGGGGGGGTAGGAACACGGAACACGAGACCATACGTATATACATAATCATATATTATACAAAATAGAAATAATGTGTATTATATTTACATTAGCGAATACTAAGAAGTATTAGCTGTGAAAATCCTTGCGTAATTAATCAATATCAGGTGTGACCTCGATGTAGTTCTCCCTTTGCAACACCGCCCTGGAGGTTCTCGCTAAGCCCCGCTAGCCGCTAAGCCAACTTGAGATCACAAGCTTGGCATCCGGGCATCGTAAACGTTGCCGTGAGTCTTGTCATACTCCTGGCACGTTCGAACTCGGAATGACACCAAGCCTTCCAAGGCTCATGATCTGAAGCGATGCAATCATGCACCTGCAGAAACGAAGGTCAACTTGTTTTTGGAATCAAAACAAAGGCCAACCACAACCATACAAAATACAGGCGAGACAAGCACAGCTGCAAAGAAACGAACCCTTGACTACAACATCTGCAACAACGAAAGTTAGCAGACTTCTTTCTTTGGGCCGGCCAGTTCAGCAGCAAGTTGCACCAAATGAAAACGCTCGGTCCTTCATCTGTCTCTTGAGCTCTTCAGTGTAGCGTCCCATTGACGCTTTCATGGCCCCTGCCTTTGCCAACAAATGGCACTTGCGGCGGGAAGATTTTGTCAACTTAAAGCGTTTAAAAATGCTTCAGCTTTCCATTTGACATGTCATAGATCCCGTTGGGCCAAAATCTATCCATGAGGCATTCAGATCCCTTCAGGCCTGCGACATGATGCCAGTCTCACCACGTTTTGCTCGAACCTGGCATTCAACTCGGTGAAGTCCCAGTCATGTGTTGATCATCAAGGCACATCAAGGCAACATGGCCATTTGCTCGCGCTCATTTGTAGACATAGACCATCAGGCCACAAATGCCACACAAGCTGGAGGAAAAAAGGAGACAATTCCTGGTGCAACACATGGTTCCTCCATTCACTGCCACTGCCACGGCAATCTGCGTATTGCTAGCAGCACCTCGATCTCTTCTTCCAGCCACTGACGTTGCAAATCCTGCAGTTCACGCTGCTTCTGCCACAGGAAGTCTTTTCTCGCCTGGATCCAGGCAGAACTTTCAATGCATGCCACCAACAGCGAAAATAATATTGATCTGTCACCGATCTGTCAAGGTTTTTATAGGAATGAATAGGATCTCTTTCGAAAGCAAAAATTGTCCACTCTCTGTCATGTCAAAGACTAACCCTCGGAACCTCCAGATTACTCTGATACCTACACAACTCCTGGAAATCATGAAATCCACAGATATTCATCACAGTGCACAAAATCCGCCATAAACCATAAACACTATCCCGTATCCCTTTGTATCCCTTTGTATCCTCGTGATATGGAGAATTTCTTCTGATTTGCGCCTTGGCTGCTTTCCGATTCTTCTTTGCCAGCTCAGCGTCTCGTTGGTTCAGTGCCACTTCTGCCTCTGAGAATTTTGGTAAAATGCAAACTATCTGGAAATATCTGGAATGCCATTTATGATAATTTTACCCTATTGGAGTCTATTGGTTGGTATCGGGGCCAATGGGAAATGGACATCTACGGGCCGAAAAAATGGAATGACTTTGATTCTACCATACTTTGCTGCCTTCTTTGATTCGTCAGTGTTCTCAGTTGTCTCGTTGATCTCATTGTTGTCAGCTGTGTTCACCTGCAGCGGTTGCTCAACTGGGCCAACTAAGGATTGCTTGCCGAGTGAGACAGGGATTAAAAAAATCAAACACCCCATGCGACAGACTGAAAGGTTTATTTTTAACGTCTTGCTATCTTGCTTGTGTTACTCATGGGATCTCATCTTCTCAAGATTCTAGTGACTCTAGTGTTGCATCCAGCGCCAAAATTTCCCACAGGGCAATGAAGACATCCCGCAGCTCCATGGGATCTCCACCGGATCTCCACTGAGATCTTTGCATTGCCATAGCCGGCCAGCAACGCCAAACCAGCATCAGCCTCTCAACCAATGGCGATCAGAGATAGGGTATTGCATGGTAATTATTGCAACATGCAACGTGTTTGCAACTCTTAACATGCAATGTAAATATTTATAAATATCACATGGTACAACAAAAACAGTTCAAAACAAGAACCATCCAATGCTCCGAGAATCAAATTGAATGCGTGATTCTTGATCAAACATGATCAAACATGATCAAACATGATCAAACATGATCAAACAAGCAGCATCTTTACTTCACCAAATGTGACGACCAGTATTGTAACTTATATATATAACACAATATGACATATGTCCCAAGTAGCTTCAGAAGTTGCCTGCTTCAATGCACCAACGTCGTTGCCGCCATCGCCGCACATGAGAACGTGACTGGCGCCAAGAAATGATGACGAAAAACGCAGCGCAACTTGTTCTGCTTCCAAAGTCTTGACTGGACATCCCTGCAACATCCCTGCAACTACATCAACATACATCAACTACCACTTTGTTTTTAAACTTTCAGGATCTTAAAGGTGCTTTTTGGGCCATCCTGGCTCCAGATTCAGCCACAACTGAAACGATGAGCCTCTGCTGCTTTTGCAGCTCTTCAATGATTTTGGCCTGGAGGGCATCTGAGATATCTGATGGACTCTTGTGGCTCCTTCTTTCCTACCCATATGGTGAACCTATGATAAAGGAACCATGGATTACAGGGAACAGTAGGCATACAAATGAGATCAAATGAGATCAAATGAGATCGTATGAAATAAGCCAAACCAAAGATACGGATTCCTCCCCTGAATATTGGATCTTTTACCAACACCAAACTACATCAAACTACCATTTCTTTACAAACGATGTGAGCGTCGTGACTATGCTATCTGGACCGGCCATTTTCGAGTCTGCCAATATCGTTCCGATGTCTGCAAAGAGTAATTGAGCCCACAAGTCATGGTAGATATGGTAGTTACCTCATCAACACAGCTCAGTCTTGTGCAAAACTAAAATCGAAAACGTACGTAGCATAGAATCGGTCAAGCTTGCATCATATATGGGGAGAATGCATTGAACAAAGGATTGCCTATATACTATGCTTGAATTAGAATTCTGAGCTCTGGGGTCTTCCGTGAGTCAGCATCTTTATACAGCCACCCAGCCCTGGGGGTCCACTGGCCGCGCTCACATCCCGCATCCCGCCTTCCCTTGGGGTGTCATCCGTGCGAAGACACGAATCTCATCCACCACCTTCCAAAGTTCAGGCCTCGATGCCCCTAAGCCCAAAAGCCTCTCCCTATGTCTGTAGTGAACGGAGCCTTTGCCAAATATTGTGAGGAGTTTCAGGACAAAAAACACTGGAAAACACTTTCCAACCTGCCAATAGAAGCATGCTGCAGCATGCTTCGAACATTTGAAACATAAGTTTGGGCAGCACGTGCCACCACGATTCCAAGCTTGTTTCTGAGGGACATGCTCGCGCGACACCGCAGCATCCAGGACATCTCCTGCAAACCGATCCCAAGGTGTGCGGCTTCAAAGGGCGAGCCTTGGGTTGAATGGATCACCGGTACTATCACCAGTATTCAGTATCCAAGGCTGAGATAGGCTGAGAGGGTGGTCCCTGTCCCGGCTCCTGTGGTCATCAATGCATATTTCTTTGCAAGATCCGTCCAGCTTTCTGTGCTTGGCAGGCGCTCACCTGCTCGATCACCTTGGGAAGTGGGCAGTATCTTGTCACGTTGCTGTCGTGTCATGTCAGGCGCAAACCGTTCAAGAGAGATACAGAGCGTAGATAACGATTAGATATGATTAGTAACTACACCGCAATACATAGATATATAGATACATATATAATATAATATAATATAATATAATATAATATAATATAATATAATATAATATAATATATATATATATATAAGATTTAGAATGATAGAGATATTGATATAGATTTAGTCTTTGTCCAGGTCCAGTCGACTCCAGACCGAGACACCGGTGACCACCACCCACTCTTCGCCTTCATCTGCCTTTATCAAACATGATCAAAATGTGAAGAAAATCAGAACTGGACACTCTGCCAGGAACATTCCAATTGTCAAAGTGTCCACCCCAGTACTTGCAATGTCAAGATGTTCCTTCGAAGGCGAACCATGCAAACAAGTGTTGATTTCCGAATTTATGACCGTGGACAATGCAAGGAAGAAAACGCAAGCACCTTGCTCAAAAGAAGCCCCGGCAATTGACCGTCTGCAATGCCGCATGTGCGAGCAATGTGCAGGGCCTCATCTGATTGTTCAGCGGATACCCCTGTGGGCATCAGTCCAGCAACCAAAGGACTTGTTATCCTTTCCGTGGCTTCATCATATACTTTGATCTTCACAAGACATATGATATCTAAAGGCAAAAAGTGAAAGACTGGCCGTTGCCACAAACTGTCAAAGAACATGATTTCAGATGATTTCAATACAGTATTAATCTTTCAGTGACATGTTGTTTCTCCGTGGTTTCTCCGCACATCCGGAAACCACCAGAAACATCGTGTGCCGAGGATCTGTGAGTGGGGAGTCTCCTGTGACCATCATCGCCTTTGGGAGATGGTCAGACTGGTCAGACCGGTCAGACCGGTTCCCCCCGGTTCCCCCAAAGCTTCAGCAACTTCGCTTCAACATGTTGCAACAACTTTGACTTCGACATTTCAACAGATTTCCACACATTTCATCTCATGTTGATTCATTGTGCATATGCTCAGAAACGTCTAAATGTATCTATATAAATGTATGTAAAGAATATCCATTCATTACATGTCTTCACACTTCACGATCTTCACTTGTTCGCCTGCTTCAGTTCCTGCCTTGTGCCCAGACTCGTTCAGGGCACCGATGACCAGGGCTGAATCTCTACGAACCAGGCACTCGAATGCGATGAAGCCCGCGAAAATCAGGTCCTTCTCAGCCTGGTCGCAATCACAAAATGCAGGGTGCAAAAAAATGAAAATTTTGCAGAAAAAGATGGGAAAACATAGAAAAAACAATGTTGCCAATCCTGATTTTTCACACATCTTCCCACCATCCTCTTTTAGGAATCTTTTTGGCCGTTCTTTGGCTTCTTGCATAACCAAACAGAAACTGATGCACTGATGGGTCAAAGATGGTCCAATGCCTCTTCCCTAGCCATCTTGTCTTGACGAGTGGGAAGGCGCCGATAGGCAAGGGACAACACCTGCCAAACAGCCAACCGTCCAACACAGAAACTGTCAGCTAATCAGTGTGCGCTCGGTGAAAATAAGTCTAAAACATTCAAAGAATTGTCGTTTCATGCGCGTGCTCTAAGAGGTTTTGACTTTTCTTTAGGCTCACAAAGGTTCAATCACGTTCAATCATTCATTGGTTTCATACAGTTCTCTATGCCCAAGCTCCCAACCCAGGTTGCGACTGCAATGCGACAGCTGGATACATCTGGCAGTTCAAAAACCAGCCGAAAGCACCCTCAAGCCCCGCTCCGCCAAGTCCGTATGAGACTTGTCATACCACCTGTGCAGCTTCAGTAACAGCCATAAGTCAGAGTGCAAAGTCAGAAGTGACACAACTGACTTCATGGAACCTTTTTGGGCAGCCTGCTGACAGCAGTCCTACAGTGGTCGAGCCATGTCTATTTCACATCATCATTTCATTCACATTATATACATATGTATACGTATATATATATACATGTATATATAATGGTGTGTTATAAGTTATGATGTATCTTCATGATCATTCAGATATATAGCTGACAGAGACGTTCAAACAATCTGCAGTTGCGCCATTTCCCTCCCAACCCACCCTGGCGCAGTATCTTTCGCCAGCAGCTTCTTGACAGCCTGACAGCGAAGTACCAGGATGATCCTTGCACACTTCACAGATCTTCACTGACTCAGAATGCCTCAGAATGGCTTCAGAATGGCTTCAGTTGCTGAAGTTGCCATAGTTGCCATGCTCTGCTCTCCATTTTATGGTTGTTTCATTATCCGCATCTTCCGATGCATTTGTTTGAGCTGCATTCTCACACTGAGCCTCTGGGGAACCTTTCACCAGCACATACGTCCCCGGCCCTGGCATAGCTTCTGACATGCCAGAACTATGTATGAATCCTTACATGGCATTTTGGGTGGTCTGCATGGGTCAGCTGGATCTCCAATCCCGAGCCTTCCAGGTTGGCTGAGCCTTCCGTCGCCACCTGTCACAGGTCACATAGGACGGATGTCGATGGAACTCCGATCTCGGTGCAACGCCTCCACGACCACGGCCATCCTCTGGAGGTGAGATGCGAAGTGGAAACGCCTTGGAGGGCAAAGTGCCTTGAGTATCACCCAGTATCTTGGGGTGTAGAAATATCATGAAATATCTGTACGCGATGTATTCAATGTACAACATGTTACAACTGGTAGAGTAGAAGTTTAGCCAGAATACTAACCTGAAGCCTCGCATATGGGTGCAAAGCGGAACTATCAATCAACAGCCTTTCGGACCGCTTTGTCGGCTGTGATTTTAGCATGAAAATGGGCACTGGAAAGCCTGTGCCGCGAAGGACATGTGGGTTTCATTGTTGTTGAGACAATACCTACGATCACCTAAGATCACCTAAGCACATCTGAGGCTGCCTGCAATCGTCTCCTACCCTCTACTACTGTCTTCTTCTAGAAGGCCTTGTAATAGAGAAACCATTCGTAGCTGTCCATAATGCGGATAATCCCTTGAGATCAAGTTGGCCAAGGCTCTGCAAGATTCGAACGGACTTGATGCCTCTTTGGTGCAATCACAGCTTGAAACAGCCACCCGGAATGAGCAATTGGAAAGCTATGGAAAGCTATCAGCAAAAAAATCCTTGACGACTCACACCAATGGCATCCAGTGGCATCCAGTGGCATCCGGTGGCCTTGCTTCTTTCCTTGTGAATCCTGCGAACTCCGCAGCTTACCATCGACCCTCAAGCCCGAAATGACTTTGCAGAAAAATGTTAGTATATGCCAGTAAACAATGTCATACCAAATCATTGTAGGGTACATGTCTAGGATTGTGAAGTGTAGCAGTGCAGCAGCACTGTCCGGTCTGAAGCAACCATATTAACGAAATCGCAAACATTCATGAGCAATCTAAACCAGTGCACCGTTGCTCTGCATTTCTGAACATGCTATTTCTTCCCATGGGACGACTAGTTACTGCATGTAACAGCCTCGGTTCATTTCCTCGATCTTCAATTCTCCCTCATAGTCATAGTAGAGTGCCAGCAACGGAGCCCGAAGCAGGGATACGGGATACAATTCGATACATTGCATTCCAATCACGACAATAAGACTATACAAGTATAATCAAGTATATATATATATAAACACCATTTTCCAGAATCATGCACATATACCATCATATTGCATCATAAACTCCCCTTTTTCCAATCACCACTTTGATTCAACCCTTCAGCTCCGGTTCTCTCCTGCGTCGCCTGAGGTGACGCCGTTTCTGCCTGCAGATGAGTTTCATCATGGCCACTGGCATCACGGCGTCACGGGCGTCACGGGCGTCGGCGTCGCGCCTGAGAATCAAAGGACCAACCGATGCCTTGTAGAGCTGCAACCTCGATGGGATCTCCTGTGAGTTTGCCGTCCACGAGAACCTGGGCGGCCAGCTTCGGAGAGGTTGAAACCTGTTGAGGCAGGTTTGATTTCCCCCAGAAGTTTTGGAATATCTTGGGAATTTGGTCTATTATGTCTATTCTGGTCTCTCAGTAAGAAAAGCATTTTACAAATCGAGGAAAGCTTCTGATCAAACAGCCTGATCAACTGATCATTCAGCATTTCTAAGGTCGCAACCAGGGAGTGGCAGGCTGCCAGCACAAGAGCTGCAGCAGTCTCTGCATCGGCCACTTGAACCTCTTCCAACACAGGAGATGGTACTGTACGATGGTCAGGAGGCATACGGGGGGGTCCCACATCTCAAATAGATAGTCTTTCAAAAATATCAAAAAATGTCAAAATAATATGCTGAAATGTTGCGGCATGTTGTGGTGCAATGTCATTGCCATGGCCTTTGGCAAATGTCCATCTGCTCCCGGCTCGCTACTTCTGTTCACCACACCTTGGTCCACTGCTAAAAGTCACAGTGACGCAGCAGAAGGCAACAAGAACAGCCATGTCGTTGCAAAGCTCATTGATCTTGATTTTTTGACTAAATTTAAATTATGTGAAGTTGATTTAGTTGATGTTGAAGAATGCACTTGTATCTACCAGGATTTGGATCTGGACACAAATTCTCAGGTCTCGGCCCACAGGCACCAGGGTATCAGTGGTGAGGGTGCCAGTCTTGTCGAAGAGGCAATGCGTAAGCTGACACGGAGGCTGGGAGGTGCATGCAGCACTTAGACACAAGTTTGGATATGTTTTATTATGTTTAATTGTTTGGATATGATGATATGTTTGGATATTGAAAGATATTTCCTCCGGTGGAAAAACATGGAAAAATGCGTGGTTCCGCCCCTACACAAAGCCACAAGCCCCGAAAAATGGGATGCTGCCACCTCCATGGTCCCATGGTCCCATGGTCCGTGCCTTGCCCGCCAATGGCACGCGGTAGGGTTCTGTGCAGAAGACCCCTGCTCGTGAGAGTGCCATCAAGGCCTAAGTATGACAAGGGCTATGCATGGCTATGCGGCTATGCGTAATGCTATGCATGCAATCATGCAACTTCGCTGAAAGCATCTGAGAGCATTTGAGCCATTTCATCTTGGAGAACAGACTGAGAACACCGGATCCGAGGCAACAAAAGCATTAAAGTTCCATGAATAGGTATGCGGCAGATGTGCAGCACGGTAAGAGCTAAGCACAGAATAGGAAAGATTCCCAAAGGGGCACAAGCTCTTCCCAGCCAGGAGGCTGTGTTGACAGCCATGGCAGTCTGGATGGGCAATTGCTTCGGTACCACCGCGGTCAGGATCAGTACGCACCTTGGAGAGCATTGCATTCCTCACAGGTCTTAACTTAGTCCACCTTTACAGTCTTGCAATAATTACATTAGTACCAATAGTTCTTTATGTTCTTTGATTGTTCCTCTTGATCCAGACCTGACTACACCTTCAGAATTTCTTGCAAAGCATGGATCGACATTGGGGAGCGGACTTCACCAGCAACTCATGAGGCGTCTTGTCACCTTTTTCCAAGCCGACCTTGAGGACGTAGCCTGGTGCAAAGATGTGCAAAAATGATCAAAGGAACTCCCTCTAGTTTGGCTGGTCAGATTCTTACCAAATGAATCCAAGCAGTACAAAATGCGCTCTTCGCATGGCTGGCTTTGGAAATTATATTTACTTTTCCAGCGTCGTCCAATTCTGTCAGTGCGGAATTGTGGCATGGCAGACCGCCCAACCTACTGCACTTGGTTGGCCAGTCTTGTGCAACCGAAATGTCGTGGACCACTCTCGGAAATGAAGGATCTTGAGGTACACTGAAGTTGAAGGCTGCTCCCCAGTAAGATTCCGATAAAGATCACAGAATTTCCTTGCCAGAGCACTTGGAATTTCAAAAATGAAATCGCAGCCCACCATGGAAATTATGATAGGGCTGTTGGGAGGGGAGTACATTGTCATCTGATCAGGTTTATTTGCCAGCGCAGAGGCCCACAATGCAATGGGGGTGTTGCTGGTTTCCTTGAGGCCTTCTGTACAATCTGCCTCGCGTTGTTTCCGCACCTGGGCACGAAACTCCTTTTCCTGTTCCACGAGCTCGCTGGGAAGCTGATGATACATCACCTCTGCAATTTCACCAGCGCAGCTTTGCAGCTGAAGAATCAGTTGCATCAGGATCTGCAGCTGTGTGTAGTCCAAAGGTGCTTCACCGCCCCATCGCTTGCGTGCCTCCAGCATCCCCTGGTTTAATGTGCCCTTTCGCTTTTCGGGACGGCCAGTGACCCATTCTCGTGCACTGTAGCCAATCTTCCTGCCCGACTCCTGGACGAAATCCCTGATATAGGACTGGAAAACACGGGCTCGGCCTGCACGCTTCTCAATCACCAAATGATGACCAATTTGGTCCAAAGCGAAGAAGTGAAAGCAATGGGGCATCATTTCATTCAGAATGCGCTCAAGCATCTCTTTATTGACCTGCTCTCGTGGCGGTTCTGGCATATCTTGCGACAGGATGCTCCAAAGGATGTCTGCAAACTCATCGCAGCGGTGCACGTGACCACATCTGCTTTGTGAATGCTTAATGGCAGCTCTTGCCGTAGCAAACTCTCTCTCGCCGGGCAGGGCGAAATCTGCAAAGGACCAATCGATTGAATCCAGCTCTTTTGCTCCAACACACCTCACGCATTCAGGCTTCAATGAAAGTGTTTTGGGATGCGCTGCCACTTTCACCCTGCCACTCTTTTCCAGTTCGGCAACCTCAGTGGCATTTTGTGCCTCCAAAATCACACTGTATTGACCATTCAACTCCGGTTTGCTCTTCAGACCATGCAGCTGCACAAGTGTGCCATGTGCCATACCCGTAGCAGCCATGCCAGTTGCCCCTGTACTCTTGGATGCTGGACGGCATGAAACAACTTGAGCCAATTGGAGAGAAGAGTCCAACTATGTCCAACTATGTCCAACTCAAATTTCTCATCCAAAGTGCACACTTCAACTGAGCATAACTGAGCATTGGCCAACAAGTCCGGTGAAGCCCAAAGATAGTCCCTAAACCATCCTCAACCCCAGCGACCCCAACAACCCCTCCAATTGCAGCACCTGCTGCTATGAGCGCACAGAAAAGAAGGATCACAATAGCCACAATGACCTGAAGGCCCACTGAAGGCAGACTGGCGTCCAAATGTTCAAACATGTTCAAACATCAAACAAGTCAGCGGCTCCAACTTTCAGATCTTTCAGCCCGTTGAGGCGTCAAAGTCTCCAAAATCCTCCCGCCTCTCGAGTGTCTCCAGAGACCTGCCAGGGACTTGAGCTGCCCGCGCAGGGTATCAGGTTTCATCAGGTTTTCTCACTTGTTTCATATTGTTTAATCATCTTAAATCATCTTAAATCCATCTCTCCACATAATATATCATAATATTATTGCACTTTACCAACGGTCATCGTAGATGTGGCCACGGCTCACCTTATCTTGGGAGAACTCGATCATCTGCAGGAGTTGACCCTGCGATGATGCGAAGCCCGTACGCACCTGCAGCGCCACGACCAGCGCCACGGGAGTCTGTACAGATGGGATACAAATGACATACAGCTGACTGAGCTGAGCGCCACATAGGCCAAGCAGCCCTGGTTGGGAGTGGCTGGCACCTAAACTCGAAACGACGATTTGACCCAGGGAGTCCCATTGAGATGGGACGATCGAGTTGGAAACCATCGGTTGAAAAATAATTCCTAACATATAAATAACATACAATAAGATACAATAAGTGTATAACTTTATAATGGCGTATGTATTAATTATAGCACATGATTAATAGCACATTATATATACTATCACTGAAGTGAGTCCCTTATTTGAGCAACCCACGTCGCTGGCAGGTCTTGTCGCCTCGACCTGTTGGCATGTTCATGGAGCAGTTGTATTCAAAGGGGTCAGCTTTGGAAACAGCTCCAGGACTTTTGATTCGTACAAGTACGAGTGTAGTGACTTGAATTCGGATGGACCGGAAATAACTCATCTTGCGCAGGGTCTGAGTCTCTTTTCGGCCACTCCAAAAGCAAGTGGTCTGGCAGTCTGGCATGGTGGCATGGTGGCATGGTGAGTGTCTAGTAGTGTCTGGTTCAACATCGACGTAACTCGAGGTTCCCCCGACCTCCTCCTTATTGGTGCCCTCTGTGGCGCGCACAATGCGCGTGCCTGGCACATCGTTAGCGTTGATGTGTGCAGCGGTGCCAATCGGATGAATTTCGCCCGACCTGAGAACAGGCAATGGACTCGATCTCGGCCCTGCAGATCCAACGTTCTGTCCTTGTGCGAAGGTCAGAAACAACACACGTTGATGCCTGAAGACATTGGCATTCGATGCCATCGCCGTCACAGTGTTGGCATTTGCCTTTGCTGCAAAGGTGTATAGTAAGGCCCTTGAGATGCCTTGAACATTCCTGGAAGTGTCCTACTTCAGCTTCAACTGTCATTTCTGGTAGGGATACAATTGGAATCCATAGACATCAGTAGGTCAGGAAAGCTTTGCGGTCCCATGGGGTGCTCCTCCATGGCCAGGGCATCCTTCATTTGCGGTGCGGACTCACCTGTGAGACTTGCCTCGCTGGCCACCGCCTCACGACTTGGGCGGTTACAGGGTTACGGCGGTTGCAGGGTTTGGCATTTTTTGACTTGAAATGTTGTGATATGTTGTGATCATGATCAGGCTTTGGCGGTTTCGCTTGTGATGGTTGGGTTTTTGATACACAAATTGGGGCACACATCTCCTATCAGGGCCAAAAACAGCAGTCACTTTCAATCTGCAACAAGCCTGATGCAGCAAAAGATATCTTGCCTCACCACGGATCATCACGCAGTCGCAGGGCACAATGTCTGGTGCCACCTGGCACAACTTGTAAGCAGCATGCCCGAAGTAATTTGGCCATAGCACAAATGTGTGTGTGTGTGGTGTGGTGTGTGTGTGTGTTTTTGCGCAGCATAACCATCTGCACTGACCCTCTACCACGCCTTCTCGTCGGGCGTTGCTTCGGTGTTGCTCTTTACCTCACAGCTGATGAAACATGATCAAACCACCAGAAAACCCACTTTGAAAGATGAAGGTAACCCAAGGTAACCCAAGGATCCCAAGGTAAATCGGATACCTTGATGATAACTGAGCCCATCGAGGCACCGTCACCAGCTCGATCAGGTCTCCGGGAACAAGATCCGAAGTGCCTCAAACTCTGGCTCTGGCCCTTTTCCAACGCAGCTTGTAAGAGTTGTACGTTTGTGTCATTTATGAAATTTATGATGTGGTAATATACAGTAATTCTATGTAATTCTTATAAAACTGTTAATATGCGGTTCATCCCAACTCATCCTAATTCTCCCATTGGCACCACATTGCTGCGACGTGGCTGGTGTGTCGCCCGGACTGAGGGCACCTACTCTTTTCGACCCACTGGCGACCTCTGTAGACCTGCTCTGAAGGATGGCGCCGTTTTTTTGAAATGGTGCTGGCCAGTGGTTCTGAGGCTAGTTGCATCCACTTCATGCTTGTATATGATGCTATATGCCTATATTTAATTCTACACGTGTATGGTTTGTTTGCATATATATATATATCATTACATATTTGTCATTATATATATATATATATCATAATATATTTGTCATTAATTATATATATATCATAATATATATATATATATATCATAAACATATTATATATATAACATTATAAACATATATTATATACACATTATAAACATATAGTATATACACATATGTGTGTGTGCATATATAATATACATATTGTAAACGTGTGTATTTATATAATTAATTATATTAAAATCGGAAGAATTGCCATCAGACCGAAGTAACTGTCTGTGAAATGTCATAAGAATAGCGAAGATAATACAGTCGAAATATATCAAAATGCTGCTCCCAACATGGCAAGACCAATCTCACGGTGAGTTGTCCAAACATGCCACTATGACCATGATGGAAAAAGACTTTGTGCCCATGTTGTTCAGCATTTTCATGGTCTTCAGCCGCTGAAAGACGCTGGTGGACTCCATTGTGAGAATCACCCTGGGCGGGAACAAAACAGGGTTAGATCATGTTAGATCAGCCACAAGTGCTGCTGAACGCTGGTGAAGTCCATAATCTTTGTCATGAAGCGAACACTGGTTGCAAGCCACCAGCAGTCACTTTTCGGACTCTTAAGCCCAGCACAGCAACTGCATCAAGGTGTAGTTCACAAAGTCATCTGCTGCGTAGACGAGCGCAACGAAGATCTGCAGATTGGACAGGGAGGTTTGCTGCTGCGTCTTTCACGCATTTTTTGTTGTTTGACGAGCAAAGGATCTTGGCAATAAGAAAATGTTGCCCCTCACATGCCAATGTGCCAAGTAACCCTAACCTCTGTGGTTCATGGTGGCCCTTCATTCATCATTGGACCAAAACATGCAGAAACTGCTGTCGCCCAACCTGGAAAATCACTAAGGGCGAAAGTAACTGCTCCTGGCAAAGCTATGCTGAAAATGGTCCGAACAGGTTGGGAAACCACAGGAGGTCAGACAAGAACAGTAGCACCCATCAGATTCAATCAGAATCAAGCACTGTGAGTTTTTCAAGTTCTTCAGTGGGTTTTTCAAGCACTGCAAACCATGAAAAATCGTAAAGTCGCATTTGCGCCTTGTAGCACTGCATAAAGGTTGGCAGCTCTACCTGTGCATTCCAGGCTGACCGGAGCTGTCCCTAGGATTGCTACCACTACAGTATGCGATAATTGACAAAATTAGTAACCAAATGTAACCAGGGGATATCTGAATAGTATGGCTGCTGAAATGTCATAATATCGTTGATTGACATTGACATTACATTCCATCTGCGCCTCCAACAGGTTTTCGCCAAATTTCTCCTTGAGATGTTCTGCATCGTCACTGCTCAAGCCCTTAGCCTCAAGAAAGGGCAGCATGGTCCCAGCATGGTCCCAACGGGAAGTGGAAAGAATTGGCTGGCTAAAAGGCAAATGAATATTAATATAATTTATGATGTGTCCACAGCGTGTAAAAAAAAGTAGCAAGTAATTAATAGTAATTATATACAGTACAAGTAGAAGCGAAATCGAGATGAAGAAAGTAGAAGTGCAAAACAGAATTATTTTTTTAAGAAGTGCTTGCTAAACATCTAGCTATGGTTCCAGCATGTTCGACTCTGCTGATTTCTGCCCACTGGTTCATTTCCAGCCATTGGCCTCAAGGTACTTCCCCAGGGGCTCGCTAACTGGGCACTGCAAAAGCTGAACCTCACCAACCTGCCACTGGTCATCACTGGTCATTCAGCGGAGAAATCCCCGTGTTGATCTTGTTGCGGGGCAAAGATGATGTGCCTCCTCATCTGCATCTGTGCCGTCACCTGATACCCGGAATGATGGGATGATGAAGTGAATCTGGACGATTCAAACAGTTGAGTGAGAAAGAAATAAGGAGCAGAACGCGACATTGAAATATGACAACATGTCGCCGTGCCTGGCTCGAGGTATTCGTAATGCTGACGCTGGAAAATGAAGCCCAAGCGGCAGGTTGTGTCACAATACCTGGCCAAAGAATTTCATCCGTGATTTCCAGTGACAAAATGGAGCTGCTACGATAGGAAGCTGAGGACACCACGTCAGCGGTACTAGTGCTGGTAGACCCCTGTGCCTCCCATCCACAGGATGACTGTTGCCACACCCAGTGTCCAAACTGAGCTTTGGGCGGTAAAGGCACCACCTGACATGGCGGCCATGGCGTTTTGAAGCTGAAGATCTCGAAATCCATGGAGGGCGACAGGCGATATGGCTAGGCTCTTGTCCTTGTCTACTGGTCCCTACTTCCACGCCTGAACGTAGTAGCCTTCTCGCACTTGTCGAGCGTCTTGAAAATGCACTGTAGCTCGGAAGCCAACCTGTATGGCGGTGTAGACATCAAGATACACCGACACCGAGGTTCAGCATGTAGCCATGCAATGTCTTGCAACAACATCCGTCATCCGACATCCCATGACATCCCTCTGCCTTCCACCGGCACAGAAGGAAGAAAAATGCGTGAAGGGAGATCCTTGGTGCCATGATGGGCCATGACATGCCATGATTCCAAGATATTACGATCCGTGATCACCGGCGCTCCAGCGCTCCAAGGAACTGCCTATGGGACTGCGGACGGTGACGCACTGCCAAGCATCGTCCCAAAGAGGGATGCGCTCGCCCACGGATTCGGCGCCTGGCACCGCCACAGAGGAGATTCTTGATGAATCGATGAACTGCAGAGGTTTCACGCTGAGGGATCTGCCCACTCAGAGGGAAGCTCGTAGGGCATTTTGTCCTGAACAATCATGAAACATCTGCAACATCACCTGCATCCTGCATCATCTACTTGGTGCATTTGCGACAGAATACCCCTACTCATCCCTACTCCCAGAGAACCATGGCATGTGACCCGTGGAAAAAGAAGATGTAACTGGCAGATGTGAAGGCATATACTTCGCTTTGGGTCGCTATATGGCACTGTATGGCACTGTGATACCCTGCGATGCCCTGTGCGTCCTCTTCTTTGGTGCCATTGAGGAAATCCTCTCTGTTCTTTTTCCGGATCTTCTCTAAGGCCACCTGAAGCTACCCCACATCTCTTTGGTGTGACCATGTGTCAGCCATCGGGTTCACATCCACACATATCCACACTACACAAGATCAGCTGGAATATGGTCAACACATTCTGTTATATTGATTGTATCCTTTCATCAACGTGCCAGTTGTTGTGACATTTTTTGTCAATCAGGCCTGATGAGCTTCGCCAGAGGTTGAGATGCAAAATTGCAAGGCAATGCCATGAAGTGCCTGGGCCCATCTGGATGGGGTTTAACCAAAATTGGAGATCTGGATCAAGTCAAGTGACTTAAGTGGTTAACGTGGTTAAGACACTAAAAAAACATCGCTGATTTTGGATCCAAACCACTAAACGCCTGATCCCATCTGGGAATCTGGGGTCTCCGGCAACAAAACAGGCCAAGATGGCAAACCTTTGCGGCGCAGCAGGCACGTGCACCTCAACAACGTCCAATGTGAAAGGACTAGAAACAAACATGGCTCTCCAGCGGTGACACATCAGTGGTTGGTGTGTGGTCGCAAAGCCGGTTGAAAAAGAAGAAACTTGGACGGTGGCAGCAGAGCCAAAAACCACCGCCAAGGGAAAAACTGCTGAATGAAAGCAAACAGTGAAACAGATGAAAGAGAACAGAAAAACTGCCATCAAAAGAAAACCCGGCCCGATGAAGATGGGTTGACCTGGTCATGTCTCCAACTGATCAAGCGGGGAGACCGCTCTGGCGAAGAAGAACTCAGCGAAAGACAAAACCAGGGCAAAACATCAACAACGGGTCTCACAGGACGAAGCCAGACCAAGATCACGAAGAAGCCCTCACGGAAGAGTCGTCAGAAGGGCAGCTGAAGAGTCATACGGCGAGGGGCAAGACACAGCGGCCAAATGTTGGCCAAACTTCAGATACCCCAAAATAGGGGATGGTTAATATTAACATGTGTATATATATATAATAGATATAGATATAGATATAAGATATAAGTAAGATATAAGATATTAGATATTAGATTTTAGATTGTAGATATACAGATATACAGTAGATATTGATATAGATAGAATTTAATACACAAAAACATGTTTGGTTATATTTCAATACATTTGAATATACTAAAATTGAATAGAATTGACATCTACGCAGTTGAGGCCTTTCACTCGGTTTCTGTTGTCAGCCCCCGACAGTGACTTTCGCCAGCGAGGGCGAATGCCGCAGCTCGTAGGGCTTGCCCATGGCGATTTTAGAAATCCATAGAGTTCAACTTGTTCAACGAAGATCTCTGAAGTTTTGCCTGGTTCGTCACTGGTTAGTCTTTGTCCTGGAGGATCCTGCAGGATCCTGGAGGATCCTTGAGTTCTATGTCGTGCTTTTGTACGGAAAATCCCTTGAGGGGTTCTGCAGGTGCAGCAGGGTCAGGGGGCTGTGTTTGAAGCTAGTTGCCGGCTTGTTCGCTTGGTTTGGGTCTGAGGGCTCTCAAAGGAATCTTACAGGATCAGCATTACATCATGTTTTATGATTCGTTGGCAAATGCCTTGGCGTTGGCTGTTGTATGCTCTTGGCACTTTGACTGCATGTCTTGTACGGCATCACCATCCTTAAGCCCAAAACGTATGCACTTGATCGCCAGCCAAAAAGCCAACCAGCTTGCAACAGAGTTTCAATTCGATGATCAAATAGGCAATCTCCGGTGCTCACAAGTTCAGGGCAGAACACAGTTTTAAGACTCCAAGCGATCTTCATCCAAGCAGCCTAGTATCCAGGGACTGCAGGAACATTGGCTCTGGAACACACTGAGGATCCATCGCCATCTACGTTTGCGGTTCAGAATTTGTCTATCTGTGTCTATCTGAACTCTGAGCACTTCCACGGATGGGCCCAAACTGCAACTAGTAGCAAGGATCTTTCAAACAATTTGTTTATAGATGTTTATAGTTTATATACTTTGGATGACTTTGGACTTCACAGGAATTCCTTGGGACATCCGTGGAGTGGTGACATTGACAGCAAAAAGAGAAAAATATGCCGAATGGCCGCGATCTGTCAGGCTTCGCTCAAGGGTTGTTCCACCTCGCGAGCCTCACAGCACTGGAGTCACTGGAGAGGCTCTAAAAGTGATGCTCGAAGTTGGAAGTGATGCTATTTTTGCTGTATGGTATTTCCAGGAGTATTTGTGAGATTTATCACAGTGACTCAAATGCCAAATCACTCATCATGGAGCCTCTATCCGTTCTAAAATGTTCACTGGAAAGCTGGATGATATTGTTCCTGAATCGCATTTTTGTTATGCCTTTGATTGACATTATGAGAGGCCACACCAGTGAGCTTCACAAATGAAAAGCTACAATACACTGGAGAAAGACTTCAGAGACCGGGCAGTGAAGCTTTTCCATTGGCTTGTTGGTACTGGCATTCAAAGTGCTTTGATGCACGATTCCAGTTTATGATTCTCACGCAAGCTCCACTTGTACCGACCTATCGACGTCGACTTCTCGGTCGCGCGCCGCCATCTGTCGCTTGCGTCTCACGTACAGCGCAGCCAGGATAGCGGCAAACAGCAGGACGATGCAGATGATGAGGCCTGCAGACTCCCACTTTCTTGAAGAGTCCACTTCAGCTGTTCACCATGTCCATTCTGTTGGAATTCGCAATGCCAACAGATTCCAACAGCTCTGAAATCTCAAGCCCCAGCATCCCCAGCATCCCCAGCATGTTGCAGCTCCACCCAACAGCACCACTTTTCATCACTTTTCAGCATTGGCAGCTCCACGGTTACCACGGTCACCATTTTAGACCATGATCCCCCGCAGATTCCGAGCCCAACGGCTTCCTGTGGAAGGGCCTTCACCTGGCAAGTGCCGAAGAGCGATGCCGATCAGCAGAATGGTTCAGTGGTGACTATTGAGGATATTCTCTGTGACTATTAATGATATCTAATAGAATATATTATATATAGAATCATATAGAATTGCATAGAATCATATAAAAACATATTGATTCTATATAATGATCATGTCGAAAATCTGCGCACTGCAGTAAGACACAACTGGCAATTCAAACAAAAATGACCCCAGCAGATTGCCTGGTACTCCCTTTCTATCATGGCTCCGGCCTTTCACACGATTTCAGTTGAGGCAGTGTCGCAGGTAGAGGAGAAATTGGCAAGACTGCAGCCAGAGATTGCAAAGAGTTGGCAGATTTGCAAAAGGCTCTCTTTTTTTTGGCAAGGCCTCTCTGGCTGTGCAAAAGCGGGGGAAATGCCAGAGAGCAGCTTAGCTGCTTGCCAGAACTTGGTGTTGCAGCAGCGCTCTTGCCAGGATATGTACAAGTGATGTTCTGCAAGTAGCATCCATCCACATAAGATAATCCACATAGCATAATCCACATAGCATAACTCCAGAGTACTCACTGGTTTGGTTGGATGGACCATTGGATGGACACTGTTACGCAACGTTCACGTCCGAGGTGGATTCGCTGGCCATGGCACTGGCCAACCATCGGGGATGCACCTGGTTCATCACAAATACCACAAGACTAGCAAACCAAGGTGTCACAATGTGCCACAAATATCTACAGACTACAGATCTATCATGTTCATTCATGTTCTATCTTTGGAAATGGAATGAAATGGACGTCAAGACTTTGTTCTATCAGTTCTGATCGAGGAGGGAAAAAAAAAAGATGCGCGCGATTTCCTGCGATCTGACAAGGTGCGTTGGGGGCTCGCAGTTGCAATGCTGGTAATGCCTGGCGACATCTGGTGAATAAAAAAAAAACATCAGAGATTGAGATGTTGCACCAGTTACACCCCCTTTGGATTTCAAATGATTCAACAAACATGGCAGCACGTGGCCAGTAGCAAAGTGCTCCAAAAATGGATCTGTCTGAAAATGGGGCATAGCGGCATACCGTGTTATATTCCCAAATTGCCATTCAACAAGAACGAAAATATGGCAAATTGATGAGTAATCATGATCAGCCAACGGATTCTCAGCCCAAATTTTGTTCGAAAGTGTCCAGCAGCTCCGCCTGGTCTTGGAGAGTTTCAAGGGTGAACCGCTCCATCCTCTCATCAGGACTTCGGGCTCAGCTTGGTGCACGTGATAGAACCAATGCCTTTGCCAAAGCACTCAATGGTTCAATTACTGTTGGCATGGCAATGGGAAATCCCAAATACCCATGATTCATGGGAATTCATCCGTATAATGGGGATCTTCCATTGCCATCCATTGCCAGGGTTGGTTAGTGACCATGGTTTTTCCCTCCATTGATCAAGGAAAAGGACGTGACATTCATGATCATTCATGATTCATCAATATTCATCATCTATAAATCTATAAAGTCTATAAAGCGTGATTGTGGGGTTCGTACAAGGCTCATCTCGGAGTCTCATCGACTTCAATCGTCCAGTCAGAAGCATGGGTCGCCTGCCTCATCGAGCACATCTCATGATCGCGTGGTATTCGGTTCGTCTTCTTCCAGTACTGGTACTGCTTGGTATCGTTGCGGAACCTGGAATGTTCATGGAATGTTCAATCTGTTGCGGAAGCTGTTTCATGATGGAGTGGCAAAAAATGATGTACATCGCACGTTCCTTGTCCTTGAGATTCTCAGTCTGGACTGGTTGCTTCATATCACTGCAAAGGACCCAAAGGTTCAAGTGTAACAAGTTGACTTTCCGGTCTGCTGAAAACATATCAACAAATCAAACAACTACACTTTACACTGCCAAAGTTGCCTCCAATGACCACTGAAGATGGGCACCTTGGTGATCTGTGGACATGTCTTGACCGAAACACGGTGGCATTTTAGGGCAACACTCACGTATCAATGCACCCATAAATTTGATCAAAATTGATCAAGTTTGGTGCGAAACCATATTTAACATTGTTAACATTATATATATACACCTATAATATGCATAATATATAGATATGTGTGTATACGTATAATATATATATATGTAATCACTGTAGATGTGTATCGTATGTATGTATCTGTATATAATACATAGATATATATTATCAAACTATCCAACCATCCAATTTGGAGGGTTGATAATTTTGAGCCATACCGTGCTGACATGTCCTGGGGCCCAAACATCCTCAGATTCCGCCCGAAGATGCGCTGCTTCCAGGGATGCACGATGCTTGCGAATGGCGGAGATCAAAAGGCCTGGGGCAACGCATGGAAACCCACCATATGGGTCCGTGAAAGTGGATACACCCCCAAAAAATAGCAGTTCCAATGGGGAAAATTCAGATTGACTGAGATTCGGTGAGTCTGGTAACCGGATGTAACTGATATGATGGACAAAAAGAATGCAAAACTGCTTTTTAACAAAATAAAAAATGAACATGTCGAAGATTTTGGTAAACCCAGCATCCCAAGCCTCGGCCCTGGTTGCCAACAAGCGCGTCTCGCAGCTCTTTCCCAACGTCTGGAAAAACCTTCGTTGTACACTGGGTGCAACCTATGATCGTCACCGTGACACGAAAGCTGCTAAGGAAAAGCCAATGATAAGCTAATAACGGTGAAAGAATCATGATCTTGCCTGCAAAGGCAAAGCATTTCCTTCTCCAGTTCGCAAGATCCGGCCATAGTTGAGGGGCAGCAGCCTGGTACTGTCATGTACTGTCACGTTTTTTTTTTTCTCTCTCTCTCCAACGGTTTTTTCGCTGTCGTCCTTAAAGGGTTCCGCTGTCCAAAGAGCAGAGTAAGTTCTGCACTTGCGTTCGTTTCCAGCTCGAGATGCCAGCTTCTGCAGGATATCATCAAACAGAATATGAGCGACCTTCCCCAGCGATTCGATTCGATCCGTATCCGGGTAATGCCACTCTGACCCACTCTGACTCTGACGCAAGCAGTGCCATGGCCTCCCGATTGCAGAAGAACACAATATCCCCCGCGCTGTAAATGACCCGCGCGGTCGCCACCTGACGGTGACACCGGTGACACCGGTGACCTGGCCATCCGATGTCCGGTGGCGCCTCGGGGAAGTCCGCCAAGCTCAGTGGACGGGCGATTTCCACGTCCGTCCGCAACTTCAGCACCTGGCAGGCCGATGGCAAGTAGCCGCCTGGTAGCCCTTGCTGTGGTTCTGGGAGATCGTTAGATCTGGACAGATGAAAAATGATGAAAACATAAATCAAACCACCAGTGGTCTGTTGAGGCGAGGCACTAAGTCATACTTCCAGCCTTGTAGGCGTTCTTGTTCCTTCAGTGAAAAATCAGAAACATCACGTTGGTCATATGCTGGAAATTCCTGGATGTTCTGAGATGTCAAGTTGGTCGGCGCCACCCGTCCTCCATCATTGCATAGGCCACGCGGTGTTTGTACCACTGCCGCATGTGATCTGTACCAACAATCCGCTGAAAATTCTGTTCGTCCAGCGTCTCATTTGGAGTTGCCACCTGAAACAACCACAGCTATATAAAACATGCTAAAACACACATTACTCAATTACCTAATATTATTCTTCCACCTTCATGCCACAATATGCCACAATATGCCACACAGCATACATAACATTCACAACATGCTACAACAATGAACAGTAATGAATCGAACAATTGCATCAACCACGGCGACGGGATGCCTCACCTTCAACTTGGCAGCAATGTATTGGCCAACCAGGACATCCACCGCCTCTGCACAGGCCTGCGTCTTGGCAATGGGTGACGTATAGACCTGAGTTCCACATGAGTTCCACATGAGTTCCACGTGTTCCATAGATCCACACAGATTCAAAGAGGTAGACAGTTGGGTTTCTCCAAAGATGCTGGATACAGTGGATACATCACCGATTAAAAATGATAAATCCCCAACTTGGCATTTTAATATATTTTAATCATGATTACTAAATGATTACTATATAGTTACCCATTACCCTTGGGGCCCCATGTTCAGGGCCAAGTTGCAAACACCTGATACTTCACCTCCAGGGCCAAAAAAGAGGTTGCCACATGGGTCACATGAAGCTGGAGCAACACAGCGATACACAAGGGGACGTCCAAACGTTGTTTTCCTTATCTTTGATGTCTGAAGATGAACAGGATCAACGTCATCCAGGCCTTTTCCACAAAAAGCCTTCCAAGAAGGAGAATGGATGATGCTGGAGATCTAAGCAGCGATCCAATAAGAACCTGAACACGCAAAAAAATGATAGTCTGTAATGTAATGATTGCAAATGTGTGTTCGCATGTCTTCGCATTGACCACAGACATCCACAGACCATCAGGACTAAGTGATCTAAGTGCCGATTCTGTGGGGACCACATGGGACCACATTCAGTTGAGGCGCGGCAACTCGGAGAGGTTCTCCTTTGGCAGGTAGCGGGTAGCCACGTGCTGCAATGGGAGAATCCTCCCGGCACCATGAAGAAGGCAGCGGCCAAGCAGCGTAAAGGTTCGCGAATAGACCTCGCCATAAAGCAAGTTGAAAGATCTGGAAGTATATTGGGGCAAACATTCAGAGCCGGATGTCTCCATGGTGATACTGACCAACACTGACTAACGGTTGATGAACGTGATCCCATGACATGATATCCGATGTCCATGGCCATGAAGTGACCGAAGGCGAAGACAGCTCCAGGGCTCTGGCTATGATGTCCTGCTGCTCCCCTGACATGAAGTGCTGTAGGGTACCGTGGTCCTTCCAAGGCCGTTCACGGTGAGAATCACAGCCCGGAACCCGCCGGAACCCCACCCTTGACTGGGAAGAGAACGGAGAAGAATTCCTGGAATCCCTCAGTATATCAGACCGCATACCACAGGACATGGCATTGGAAGAGCGTAGCGTTCCTATAACTCGGCATGTCGTTATCTCACAACTCACAAGGATGAATTCACGCAGTTGTGGTAAGTGAATGTAAGTGACATATGATATGCTATCCATGATTCACATCCACTACCACACAGATTACACCATGATTTTCCACCCAGCTCGGACCCACTGGGCATCGGCCCACGGGACCTGGACCACCAAGGGCACAGACCTAGCCATGGCAGCACTGACATCAGTGCCGAGGACTCAGAGATACTCGGCATGGGAGCTGAGGATGTGTGAAAAGAGAAGAAAGATGAATAAAGATGAATCCAAACAATCTGAGAATTGGTGCAAATATAGAACCAAACAGATTCAAACAGTCTCTTTGTAGTGGAGCGAAACAGCTTTCTGACTGGAAGTTTTGTGCATGGTCCCTGGCACGCCCCGCCATTGAGAACACTGAGGTGTTGTCTTCACCCATTTTCGAGATTTTCTGAGTAAATCTGTGGGGTCTGCTTTGTGCTTGAATGCTCCTTGGCTATGCCTGGCTATGCCTCAATCATGATGCTTATTCAAATTGTCAACGCACACCCAAACATTCAAGTCTCTAAATTATCTGAATTTGGGATCGCATTGGATCATCGAGAAAAAATCTGGAAGAAACATTGGCTGATTCCACCCACCACCTCTTCAGGTCGTTGGACGCAAAGAGGTAGCCGCAACGCACGTGCCTGCACCAGGGAGATCCTATCCAGATCTCCAGAGGACACCCAAAGTTTCAAAGTATAAATCCCTGTGGGAAGAGGCAATTCTATTGATGACATGAGTGGAATTGAGCAAATGGTGATCTTCAAGCTGTGGTGCCAAGTCCAACATGCTGACGCAGTCCCCGCCACGGGTGCATTGCAATGATTCCACCTTATCACCTGCTACTAGATCCTTTTGACATCCTTTTTACATCTTTTTACCATCTTCTACCGACTCAGACCCACTTGCGACTCATATCCACTCATGCCAACTGATGCCCGGTTGCCTGCAAGGTCATCAGTGAAGACGAGAGCGGCACTTGCGCCAGGACTATGCTGGCTGCAGCTGTCTCGGCGAGTCGGCGAGTTTGCTACATCAAGGTGTGCCACGGTGTGCCACTTCCCAACACGACCATTCTAATGCCATTCTAATGCAATGAACAAAATCCAACAGCTGGAAATGCGGGTCTTCCTGAGTCATCCTCAGTCTCTCACTTGGCACAGAAGCCTTGATCCACACATCGCCGAAAAGGGCAAGTCTTGCCTTACCTGCCAAGCTGTGCAGTCCCGAAGAGGGATCGGATTCCTGCTTACTCGGACTTGGATTCGTGCAGGGACTGTAGAATTGAAAAGCACTTCTACTGGTGCAAAATAGGAGTGATGATCTGCAGAGTGCCTGCCGCAAGTGCGGCAGTAGATTCTCAAGCACCAGCAAAATAGACCTGTGGATGCTGAAAAAATCACTGCAAGACAAAAACCTTCAGCCTCAAAACACGCAGCAGCTCTTGGAAGGTGTAGCCGTGCAGCAAAAATGCTGAGAGCTCTGCGTATCTGTGAGACTACACGCAAGGAGAGGAGGGCCACCAGGAAAAGCACCACGTAGCCGATACGCATGCAGCAGCACCTGGCGGCTGCAGAGCTGTATCGGCTGATGAAATACACCCAAAGTGGGCAATTGGGCACTGAAGTGTTCATGCGTTCAACTTATATTGATAAGTCTATATACATTCTAATTCCATACAAAGCAAGACAAATCAAGACATAAAAAAAAAAAATCGGAGAGGCGGATGCGCAGCATGCCCCTCGCCTCCAAGGGTGAAGGACCCGGAAGCGCTTCAAGGACTCGAGCTCTGCTTCCGTTCACAATCCTCGGTGCATGGCCCGGCGTCACCCGGCGCCACATGGCTCAAGCCGCCCATCGGTAGGCGCCTCCGGGCGTCTTCGGCCACAGAAGCTGAGGCCAAGCCCAAGAACCAACGGCACTTCACCTCTGCACTGTCTGCACCATGCAACACCAACATCGGATGGAGGATATCTGAGTGGAGCAGCTTTTACAAAGTGTGGGACAGCAGCCAAGTGCAACAAGTGCAACAGAATGTGAAGTGACAGTAGTTCTCACGGTCGAAAGATGTCGAAAGATTCAAGGCGCAATCCAAGCTGCCAAGTTGCCCCCCAGGTCCGAGCTGCAGCATCAAAGGCGTAAAGTTCTTCAGTGGAGTTGCCCAAACGAAACACACAGGCCACACGCGTCAGCGCCTCATCGCACATTTTTTTGGTGCAACACTTGGCAAATAGGTCTTGTGCATTTGGGTCCCATCTATGTGGCTCCAACAGAGTGTTCAACCGGATCAACAGGCGGATGAAACGGAGTTACATTTGGCATCACAAAAACATCATAAGATACAGCAGAAACTGGGAAGCTATCGTCTCTATCGTCATATTATTCATATTGGCTTGCAGAAATACATGAGGTCCGATGGTGGACACCTTGGCATCGGCAAATCTGCACAACGATGCCAGCAACCACCCGGTGGCTCGACCTGGGAGATTACCGGGAATCTTCCAACAAAGTGGCCCGGTTCAAAAATGGGCACCAATGCACCTATGAACATTATATCTTTTCATATCTTTTACATATCTGTTTCATATCTTTACACATCTTTACATATTCCTAGTAAGCCATAGTAAACCATCCAACCTTGGCATCCTTGGAGATCACCAATGAGCCAACGGCACATGGATTTCATGGGCTAAGATTCGGACCAGTCCATCGCTTACGTCGGCATTCCCTTCGCATCCATTGGGGCACAGCATGGCACAGCTTCGGGCTTCACTCTTGGGACTCTTTGGGCCAGCGACGAATGCGGAAAGCTCAAGGATCCACTGCACCAAAGCTCACGCAAAAATATGGTATAAAATTATAAAGTCATTAATATATAATTTAATGGTATATATGATAGTATAATAATACTCAACAAACTTTCGGACATCTTCGACATAAGACCCTCAATAACTTTCCATACATTTCAACAGGGTTTTGCAAACCATTGAAAGTTGCCCCTGCTTTGATTTCCTCCAGTGAAACAAGCCGCACATGAAGCGCGTGTTGCCTGCACCATGCAGTTCATCCTTGGTGGGGATGTTTGCTGATTGGTTGTGGTTTTCTCTCTGTATTGGTGGTCCTCTGTTTTCAACTTTGGTTGGTCGTGGCTTAGTTTGGCAACCACGTGTATGTCACACTTTGACTACCTTAGGTTATACTTGGTTATCAGTGAGTCATACTGCGACAAGTGCTCCGTGTTTCAAGTTTGCAACCCGGAAGCTAGGTGTGTCTCCATAGACATTGATTGATACATATTGATACACTCATTGATTCTGGTACAACCATCCCATGTCCAGCCATCACTTTGCACCACTTCGCAAGCTGCATTGTGTGTGTGCGTGAGGTAATTAAGTTGTGACGCAGCAGTATTCGATACCATACAGCCACTCCGTACATTACAATTAACACAGCTTTGCAACCCAACAGTAGTGACGATTTCAAATGCAAAGCTAAGGCTAGGGGACACAATTGGGAGACAATTGGAAGATCTGACATGGAAACAAGCGGAAACCAATTGGGAATTATTGGGGGGCCACCTCTGAGAGACAACTGGGCATTGTGGGGGGCAAGTCGAAGACAATGTGACAATTGGGAGACAAATGGGAGACCACATCTGTGAAACAACTGGGAGACGATTTGGAGACCATGTACGGCGGCCTGGGAGACAAGTGGGAGGCAAGGTGGAAGACACAGCGGGAGACAAAATGGGAGACACAGTGGGAGACATAGTGGGAGACAAGCTGGGAAACAAAGTGGGGGACATTAAGCTGGGAGATAAGTGGAAGACAAGTTGGGAAACAAGCTTAAAGATAAGATGGCAAAGTGGGAGACACAGTGACAGACAAGGTTCCAAGGTTCTAGGTGGGTGACTAGTGGAAAACACAGTGGGAGACACAATGGGAGACAAAGTCTCAAGCTTCCCAGAACCCTGCGCATACATGCCAGAGAAGGGAGACGTCGCGATACCACCCACTGCTTCCTGAGATTGAAACCCAACAGCTTTCTTCTGTGGGGAACTATAACAACATTCTCGCAATATGGCTGGCGGCTAGTGGACATGCTTCCCCTGGTTTACCTGTAGTGGTTCTCAATCCCTATGAATAGCCAACAAAATTGCATCCGCTATCCTGACTATATAAGTTCCTCAATCGTCAAAAGCAATGTCAGTTGCCCGTACAACGCAACATGCCGTTCTTAACCATGCAATGTTCAGCAAACTTTATCCTGGAATCATCAACACCTCTGAGTTCGCCCTGCTACTTGCCACTTGAAATAGATACTTGCAAATACTTGCAAATAATTACTTGCAATACATAAGACAAGAATGTGCAAACATGCATTCCTGGGACCTGATGGCCCTAATATTTCTGAGAACTGAAATCTGAGATTGCTGCAATGCTCAACCTCGGACGGACATCCCGGTCGTGCAAGGTGCAAAGCAGTGAATAGTACGGAACTTACTATCAGAATTTCATAGATATTTTGTCACCCTCTTCTTACTTCAAGGGGCCTTTCAACAATAAGTCGAACCTCTATAGTGCAAAGGTGCAAGCCTTCTCTCACAGAATTGCTTGTTGCAGCATGTTGCAGCCATGAAACGCTAGAGCTTGTTTCAACCGCCCTTGCGCTTCCATGTCTGCAAAGTCCTGGCAATTCGTGACATGAAATTGATGCAAGGCAAAGTGAGAGGCGACAATCGGCGATGCTGATCTATTTGAATATTCTGCTGAGATATGTCCTCCTGCTGCTGCAACTCATGCTGTCGAGCCCATTCTCCCTGGCACTCTTCACTCACAAAGAGTGGTGGTGCATTTGGATAATTCGGGAAGTTAGCTTTTTGTGCAGTGGACTATTGCTCTGCAAGGTACAAAATCAAACGTCACGTCAAATTTTGGAAACTTGTTCTCAGCTGGGGCTCTTTTGAGACGTCCTTCCCCTGCATTTTGTTGAGGACGACAGCAAGAAAGCATTCGTTGCTGTATCTGACGCAGGCAAGAATGGAATCGCTTGATTCCAACAACAACAACAACACCACCACCACCACCAACAACAACAACAACAACAACAACCAGAACCCAGTGAAGGCTTTGACGCAACCATCACTACAATTCGGCACTGGACATCTCTATGCAGTAGAAATCTATGATAATCTGTTGGCTCATGGAAAGTGTCGATGGACACTGAGAATTTGGACTCTCAACGCCGGAGTTGGCACGATTTCCATAACAAGCCAGTGCAACCTGCAGCTTGGCCAGGAGAGCCTTGACTGCATCACAATCCTTGCAAGGCAGCGAGCCATGACTCTGTCATAATCTACCTCAGTTGTTCAGTTAAATAAACCCCTTAACCAAAAACATCCAAAAACCATCCAAAACCCCTAAATTGTAGACCTCCAAGACTTTCTGAAGGATATTTCGCATGCTACAAGTGCATCCTATGCATCATGGGTGCTTTGAACATTGTGGGCGCATGCTGTGGTAAGCCAACGAACGGTCCTGGATCAGGGCTGCCTCCATGCCTCCAGCGTGCCAAAGATGGTGGCAGATTCAACACAAGTCAGAAATCGCGAATCTACAGCCTGGCAGTTTGTCCAACTGAGATTTGAAACACATCTACTCCATTTACTCTTGACTGGAGCAGTTTGGGGACTATGAACACATCATCCATTCTCAGCATTTCACCTTGGGGAAATGCATTAGTCCACAGAGCGGCTGGTCACTGCTGGTGACTGCAGCAACAGTTGTCCCGTTCTGAGGCCCTGACAGCATCTTCTCCAAATAGTCCATGCCTAGACAGAACACGGCACACTGGACATCAAGACGCATCCAATGGAAACATCGTGATTCAGTCACGACAGTCTTCTACCTGGGGAATGCCTCCTCCAAAACTCTGAGGTACCAGCTAGAGCCAAGCAAAACGATGTCACAGAGTGCATAGCTCGTTTTGCTATTCCTCATTCGCACAAGCCGGCGAGTCTGCATGGGCCACTCTGAAAGCATCCAATAGGAGTCACTTCAACAGCCTGTTTTTGGTCTGTACAGAATTTACATGAATTTACGACATGATGTTCATGGCATTTCATGGCTTTTGCTATTTTTGCTGAGCCTTGAAAGTAGGTGAGATCAGCCAGCAATGTCCGTAGTCGTCGGATGTCACAGGGCTCTGGCTTTCCACCGTGAAGTCTCGGCTATAGCAGAGCTGTGCCAGCGATATGTGGAGATGCCGCGACTCCTGGCCCACTTGAAGACATGAGACACTGGAAAACGGCATAAGAAAATCAGAAGGACGTGTGCATTTCATCACTTCTGGTTAGCTTTTATTAATCCACCATGATATTATCATTGTTAGAATATACAATATTCATCAATATTCATCACAGTTTAATTACATTGTAATCTTTTTGCATCCCACTTCAGGCTGAAGCCTTCTTCAGCAGCCACATATTGAATGGTGAAATACACGGCCCTGTCTGGAAAGTGCGGAGTGTTGTCAGGGGCTCCTCCTTCGTACTGACGGCGTTCTCCAAATATCGAAGTTGCCACCACGACACAAAGGACACCCGCAGAAGGAATTTCAGCTGCACCTGCTGTCTTGGAGTCTTGTAAGTCTTGCAGCAGATTTCAAGCCCACTACTGTTCCCATCTGTTCCCCAATGTCCACATATTTCGACTGCGGCAGCATAGGCCATCCGCCGCACCTGTGCAGTAGCGCCAACCGAGACGACTCTGGACTTCAGCAGCCGCCTCCCGTGTCATGGTGAAATATGATGAAACGCCAATCCTAAGAGGTGCACCTGGGTCACCTCAATCGTTGAATTTTTGGTGGACATGGGCTGAATCCCATCGCCTTTCCACGGATCGCAATCGCAGCTTCAGTCTCTCTGCTTCTTGTTGCCTGATGCAGATTGAACGAAATAAGAGGAGCTCGGTGAAACGTGTGACTTTCAGGGGTGTTCCATTATAACGTCAAAAAACATCACAAAGAGTGGCTGAGTGGCCATGTTATCCGTCCGACGGAAAAGGAAGCAAGATGATACGAGATCTAAAAGCAGCAAATCATCAATCAGTCAAAATAATTCAACAATTTGTCAATAATATTCAATCTAATTCAATAACCTTCCACTGTTTCACAGTATACCAAGTCGTCCGATGGGTTCCACGTGGTGCCATGCCTGGCTTCCAAATCAGATGCCCCGCCCCAAGCCTCGAGGCACTCCACACACCAAGGGTATTGGATTCGCAGGGGAAGTCTGGTGCTGTGAACTGTTCACTACAACCCTGATGGCCTGACATAGCCTGACAGCCTATTTCCTGTCTGGACTGAAACTGGGCCTGATTCTCTGACTTTACAAGTAGTCCAACGTGATTCACACTCTCTTTTGCTGCTGAATCTCGCGTCCACTTTCCTTGGCTTTTGAAACAGCACTGAAAGCATTGCGACAGGCAGCGTCTGGCTTCTTGACCAGATGAAACACTTGCGAGGCAAAAGTTGACAAAGAACTGTGCCCAACCACCTTGTGAGGCTGTTCAGATTGTTCGGCAGCTTTGGCACAAACGTGCAGGATGGCACATGCCAAATGCGAAGAAATTGGTGAGCGCGTTGCATTGGCTTCCTGATGCACGTTCCTTGCAATCTCCAAAGCAGCAGTGACTTGTTGTGCTCGAGTAAGGGACGAAAGCAATGTGGTGAAGCTCACTGAGTTAGGTTTCACAATCTTGTTCCGCATATCTTCCAGAAGGTCCAAGACAACCTCTTCACGTTGTCCCTTCATCATGGTGGTATATGTGACAACATCAGGATCTAAGTTCTCCTTTTGCATTCGTTTCACCTCTGCATGTGCACTTTGCAAATCAGAAACCTTAATGTGAGCAGAAATCAAACTATTGAAGGCAAAGGTACCAATCTCTACACCATGGCTCTTGGCCCGTTGAATCAAGTCCTCAACCGATCTGGCATCTGCGAACTTGGCCGCAAGCGACATGAGAGACGAGAAGGTGACATGGTTTGGCTGAACTGTGCATAACTTCATTTCTTCCAAAAATGTTGGCACCTCCAGGCAACTGGTCTTGTGCCGCTTGAGAGCCTTGAGCAGGGTATTGTAGCTCACTACATCAGGCGATAGATGCGATAGCTTCCGTTCTCTCATATCAAGCATGATCTGCCGAATACTTGCATCATCTCCTCGTAGTGCAAAGCCATTGAGAATCTTGTTGAAACTCTCCCGCCTCAGCGATGTCAGCGATGTGTCCCGCGACAAGTCCTGTGCCAGGCTCACGTTGTTTCCAGCAACCAGGGCTGTTACCAGAGCGGAGTAGCTTGCTCCATCCAGCTGGAGACGAGCCTGAAGCATCTTGGTGAAAGCATGATAAACTTCATTTGTCTTCCCCTCAGCAGCCAGAAGACTGAGATGCGCATTTCTGGTTGCCATGCTATCACAAATCTTCAACTCCAACGCTGCCCAGTCCAATGGAGTCATGTGAGATGAATTCCTGTATCGATCTCCGGCCATCATCAGAAGTTCATTGCTGGCCACATAGCGAATCTGATTTTGTAAGCGCACCTTCCTGGCCACCCGAAGGCAAGGCTTCAGCTTGGATAGGACCGACATTTGGACCGCACAGTTGGATACTTTCCTCAGTGGTTCATCTGGGTGATTTGCCATGCAACCGCTGTCGCCGCTGTCATCCCGATGTGGCCACCTCAATCGCGCAGCCAACGGCAACAGCCACAGGTTCTCATCATCTTCCACCAGAAGTCCAGGTAAATTGGGCCAATAGCCCACCTCTGTTGCTATTTCTTTCTGGATCCGACGTGCAACTCTCCAGTCCAGCAAGCGAAATTTGGAGAAGAGATCTCGAAAACGTGGAAGGCTTGGAGTCTCGGGACTGTCCTTCTGGGGCTGGGAGTCTGGCATTTTCTGGAAAGCTGCTACAAAAAAACCCTCAGTGCCAAAGCTATGTGGCCACAAGCGCAAGTATTTGCCGGAACTTGTGCTGCAACCCCAATCTCTGAAAGACAGATCCACAACTCTTGCATCAGGGTTGCCGGCGATAAGTTTCTCGCATTGTTCTTCATTCTCAAAGTAGTTGAAGGTACAGGTTGAATAAACCAAGTAGCCACCTGGTTTTAAGGTCGTCCATGCACTCTGGAGAAGGTTCTGCTGTCTCCTGAGAAGCCTCAAGTAGGCTTCGGACTGCTTCGAAACCCGCCATCGGTCCAGCACTCGACGATCTCGGCGAACATTTGCTTCAGCTGAGCATGGAGCATCCACCAGAACTGCATGAAAAACGCAAGGCATTTCACTGAAATCTTCACCTGGCAGCTCTGAAACCATCACAGATTGCACGCCACAACGTAGCAAGTTGGCACGAAGTCTCATGGCTCGTTCTGGATTGGGGTCGTTGGCCACCAACATGGGACCGATTGGACAGCTAGAGAAGAGCTCCAGTTCCAAGGCTTCAGCAAGTTGGATGGCTTTGCCACCAGGTGCTGCACACAAATCCAGCACTCGCAGATCTGGGGAATTCCCGGAGATCCCATCTGCCAGGGCCAGGAGAGCCTTCAAAACTTCCGCTGGCAACATGGATGCTGCGTCTTGGCTGTATAGATATCCCAGAAAGTGTGGAAGACTTTTGCCAATGGGCTGCTTGAAAACTTGGAGATCCAAGTCCTGGTCCTTCCGTGACAGGAACCAACCGGAGCTACACCATTTCACCGCGTCTAAATTCCATTGCTGCGATAGAAACCATGCTTTTGTCGCTTCATTGGATGCTTTTAGTCGATTGAAGCGTACACTTTGCCTTGCTGGTTGACGGCAGGAACGAAGAAAAGCCCTCAGGACCTGCCTTCCGGGTGGTAAAAGCTGGAACTGCTGCAGATGTTGCAGAAATCTGCGCGGCACCCTCCATGGCATCTCGCACCATGCAGTGGGCAGGCGGTGAAACTGCAAAGGCCGAAATGCCGCGAAATGAGGTAGTGAGGCAACCAGGTCTTCAAACCTGGTGGCTGAGATTTTGAAAGCCGCAAAATACATCAAAATACAAACAGGAAAAGGTAGCAATATAATAATCAAGTAATATCACATATATATATATGTATATTGTTATGATTGTTATTATTATTATTGTTATTATTATTACTATTATTATTATCATTATTATTATTGTTGTTATTATTATTGTTATTATTATGATTATTATTATATACCTTGAATTGAATATACCTTGAAAACTTAGTCGTGTGAAAAAATAGGGAACTGACGAAAGTTGCGCAATTTTAGCACAACTGTTGAAAAGTCGCCTGTTTTGAGTTTCTGAAAATTGCAATTTCTTCAGTTTCAGTTCTCAAGGGTGTATGTAGGTCCAGAAAGAAATACAACGTAATCGTATGGCAACTTTTACACACACACTCAAACTTTGGTCAAAAAGGCACACATATGCCAGCGTGGTGAAAATTATGATTGCAAACGCAAACAAACATTGTAGCCAAACACAGTCAATGGCACAAATGCACGCCCAACATCGCAAGTAAATGCATATTGGCGGCTGCTGCCTGTTCTGATTATGATACCCTCCTGGTGCAAATGGGCCTTTATATTTAAATATATCATATCCATTCATATCCATTCATATTGCAAGGTTCTGGGATCCTGACCCGCCAGCATAAGACCAGCAGCATCTCGCAATGGTCCTAGCAAGTGACGCAGCGTATGCAACTGCAAGTCTGCTTTCCGAGCAGGAGTTTTCATGCCAAAAGGCTGAGACGCGACAGGAGTTTTCATGCCAGCCGTGCCAGTCGTGCCAGTGTCCTCCTCCTTCTGAAGAAACATGGCCTCCAAGAACTCACGTCGCCAAGCATGGATTTGCGCCTGAAGCACGGCTTCTCTGGCAACGTCATCAACGTCCCAGGATGTCCCAGGATTACCAATTTGTCTGTACAACTCAGCCCTGAACGTTGCCAGCGTGTAGAACTTTCTCGACAAGTTGCTCACGCAGCAACCTTGCCCATGCCCGTATGCAGGCAGTCAAAATCCTCCTTCACGCCAAAAAGTATGCAGCATGCCAACCAGGCAACGAAGCAAATGGGTTCAGGCTCAAATTTTGCTCTGTACAAATGCAGGAGTGTGCTCACCGCCTTACTTTTCACTATCTGTTCCTGCTCCAGTCTCAGGGAAGGCTTGAGTCCTCCTTGAAGTGTCTGATGTAAGCTGCACCAAAGCAGACTCTGCCCGAGTTTGCTGGGCTGAAGTTTCGCGCATCTGTGCCTGTTGGTTCTCTTCGAAATGCAGTAATTACATCTACAGACTTAAAAATGACGAAAATGGACGGTGGGACTGGTGCAGAGGGGTGAAACCCAGCAAGGAATGTCACAATGGTATCCAGAATCTAAATGCATTTTCATACAGGCTTCATCAGGCTTGAACAAAAAGTCAATCATCTAGCTTGTCTCTGAAAGGAGAATTCTTGTCTCAGCAGAGGAAATCCTGGGGCAATGCTCTGAATGTCCCTTTCTACTAGTAGGCTGTTGATTCTGTAGATACAACATGATACAACCAAACCTCGAAGAAGTGCGTGGACTTCATCGCTTCCAAAGCTGCGAGCCACATATTGAAGGCCTGGGGCTCCAAGACTCCCAGGTTGCCGATGGGATGAGGATGGAAGAAGCTGAGCTTGCGACAAGGTGTAACACCTGGTTGCCTTGCCGCAAGTGTTGAACCTAAGGCAGCCGCAGGCAGCTGCAATCTTTAAAGCAATCCAGGTCTGAACATGCACACAACAGACTCCAGCTGTTCTTCTGTTGTTCTATATCTGGTTGTTTCGATATGTTTCGATGCTCTTTCTTTGTCGTCTACACCCCAATAAAGATCTTGAACAAGTCTGGGCTTCAATGTTCAAACAGCGTGCCGCGCTGCTGGATTGGGAAGTTAAAGAAATTGACCGAAACGGTTGGGAGAACCAACTTTTGAAATCGGAAACCAAAACTCCCACTGGAAAAACAGTTGCTGTCGCAAATGGCTGGGCAAGGAGATTTGTAAGAAAAAACAGACTGTTTTGCAAGCGTGTGTGCGTCTCGTTCTTTCCTTGGTTTGAAGATGTTTGAAGAATGCTAGAAGGATGTTGGCAGATCTTGATCTCATCTGGTAGGCCCCAACCTCCAGTGCAGTGTGGGTCGCACCTGCAAAGTGGCACTGCCCATGCACCCCAAGTCTGCACGAAGCCTTGTGGTCAATGAAGCCCTGGTCCCGAGATTTGTGCTATCAGAGGTAAGGTGAAGAACTATGTGGTGTTTGCAGAGTCAGATTTCGAAGTAAGCGAGAAAATTGCGAAAACCTTCAGTTTGAACGCGGCTCTGTCTAACATGTCTAACATGTCTAACATGTCTGACGCTGCTGTTTGCGTCACTGGTCGACCTTTGGTGTCGTCAACCTGGGGATTCCAACTTTTCACGTCGGAAGATCTTTGCCGTGCGCTAGCACTAAGGAAGGCAGCCTCCAGACTCAAGAAGGCAGCTAGCACAGTGTTTCAGTATGTTTCAGTGTTTCAAGGGTTCCGAAACTTGACATCAAGACGGTCAAGGCATCACGAAGCAACAATATCCAGTGCTCAGCTGCCCCAGACACCTTCCTCCACAAAAGAAAAGGCGCGGAAGCTTTCCGGACCTGCCGTGCAGTGCAGTGCGTCGGGCAGGTGGCAGTGGATGGTAACAAATCAAAGGTTGGAGGCCTTGAAGAACCTCTCTGCCACCCGTGTGAGTTGGACCTGGCTAGGCCCACAAAATCTGATCAAATGAGATAGAAGAATCGAGCTAAAGGGGGGAGTGTTTGGTCTTGTCAGCAAAGTTGGGCAGCGGATGGAATGTTACTTTTAAAGTGTAAAGAGAATCGAACAATGAAAGCAAATTTGGCATGACTTCAAAACAATGCAATGCATGACATGTAAGAAAACTCAAAGCCTGGTGACACTCAAGCGTCGCACACTTGTCCTGCCCGGCAGACAGTCACTCATCTGGAAATGTTCAAATGTCTGTGGAGCATCCAGCCTCGCGTTCCATGAATTGTCTTATGAGTTTCGTGGGAATGTCCTAAGTTCTTGATGACACTCAGTGGCCCAGTTCAAAAGCGAAAAAAAACATGGCCATTGAGTCGACCAGTCTGACCATGTCTGACCCGGCCTCGGCCAATCGTGCCCGGCCCAGGAGTTCATCGGCTTTGCTCTGCAACTCCTCAGGGGAAATCGTCTCGGATTCTGTGACTCACAAGATGAGCATCCCACCATATCCCACCTAGTGACTACAACAAGGCTTTATCTGTGATGTATAACATTATATATATAATTATATATATATATGTTAGTGTATTGTATATAAATAATATATCTATTATATTAATTATATAACCCTTATGACATGTTGATACATTTTGCAACATGAGTATGGGTCAAAACTTTGGTACCCTGCCAACCCCAGCTGGTAAATGGATGACCTGTGCAGCAGTGCAGTGCCGCAGCTGAAGTGCCGCAACTTCCGCAGCATGCTTTGTCGCCCTCGGACGTTGGAAGACTTCAAAAAATCCCCAGCAGTTGGTGTAACCAGATGGTGCAACCAGTTGGTGTAACTGGTGCATTACAAACTGACATCAACCCACCATACGAGTACTAACCATCAACCACTAGGGATTTTGCGGCAGATTCAACTCAGGGAATGGCATCAGCTATGAGGCATCCAGTAATGAGACGTTTGAAAAATCCCCTGGTGGCAGTGCCTTGACTGCTAGCCTTCCATAGCATGTTGCCCTAAGGTCGCTACATCGCAGCCAGGTCAGAGGAATGAGATTCTCCTAGCGACAATGCGGCATCTGCTGCAGTCAAGCACTACATCTGTAGTACTATTCGCCTTTCCATCCCTTTCCAATCTACTTCAAAAATCCGAGACCTTCACAGTTTTGGTTCCGATGCTGTTAAGTTATGTGTACTGCAATCGCCCAAGCCCATTGCCTGGCTGCTGCACATGCCCCGTCCTGCAAAATGTTTTGCACAAGGGAAGTTGGATTATCTCAACGGCCCTATTGCGTGTTCTCAAGATCAAGGCATGTCATCGCACATCTTTATGCATTTTCGTCATGTCCAAGGGCCCTTTTTCTGAGGAAATGCTGCCCCCAACACCACCTCCAGAGACATCCTTTTTCTGGTCCCACGGTCATCCCACGGTCCGGGTGTTGGAGAGCTGCACGGCTCCCATCCAATCCGACGACACCTTCACCTCAGATCGTGCGACACCGTGGAAAGAAAATGCCAACTTTAGGCCCTGTAGGAGATGCCTGTTGTATCCTGTTGTTATATGTTGTTACAGTGTATGTTGTTATCTGTTGTTCCATAATGTGCATCTGTCGCAGATTTTCCAACGCACCACCATGAGATTGAGGTCGCAACACCGCGAAAGGAACTTGAAGACGAAGTAGCACCACCCTGACCCTGGCACGGAAACTGTCCATGGATCAATGTGGCATCAGTGGAGGAAATAACTTCAACATCCTTCAACATACTGTAAGCAGAAGATAGCAGAAGTGTCAGCGACACTGTCAGCCTCAGAAAAGTTGGTCGGCCATTCCAAATTACCACGACCGTGCCACGACCTGCCTCTGTTTGGGCAAATGCTTTGTTTTTACAGCGTTCAGCCTCATTTGGACTTGGGGCCAAGAATTTGGGCCAACGCAAATTTTGACTCTTGGCTCAGGAGTTCTATCATGTTCTATCCTCTTAGATCGGAACCCAAGATGTTGATGGGGTACAGTACAGTAACCAACCAGAACGGAGCCATTGTTACAGCAGATATTTCATGCAGAACTGAGTGTTCCACATGCAACTCGGCATGGAGTTGGGCCACCTGCGCGCAGTTGGAACCATTGGAATGACAACTGGATGGCTCTTGTTGATGCTGCTTTACTTTCCATAATTAGCACAGATTCGTACTACATTACTACATGTTGGGACCTGTTGGGAATTGTTGGGATATGTTGGGATATTTTTTCTATTTCCCCTCCAAGTGCCCATGCCTCCAAACGCAGTTCAGTGTTTTCACGCTGCCGCGCTGCCGCTTCTTCCTGCCAGGATTGCACCTGAGCTGAGTCGACTTTGGCAGATGTTGGTAGATATTTGCAAAAAATGTTGGCAGATGTTGGTAGATGTTGGTAGATGTTGGTATATAGATGTCGATTCGAAGCATTTCGAAGCTCGGAGTCTATCCGAATGATGGAAATCAAAGACAAGTGATGCAACTTTCACACACCGCATCTCAGGGTTGATAATCCTAACCGTTTGGTCCTACCTCCCAGCGAAGCTGTCGGTTTTCGCGCCACAGGGAGTCCTTTCGAAGGCAACCACTCCATGGCCATGACTAAGGTGTCAATCAAAGAGGAAGATCCGTAGCATGGCACTGGTCACCACTGGTCAAGCCACATGTGGTCCTGATGATGTCCATGCCCCAGCTCATGGCTGATGGTTTGTGGCACCTGCACAGTAGGCAAGGGGAGTTGTGCAGTGCCTACAACTCAACGGCATGGTGCGGCATGGCTTTGCTCTCTTCAAAAACTGCTTCGGAAAGTAAGAACATTCATAGAAATTCACTCCAAGATTCACCAGGTCCTTACCAGTTACCAGTCGGTCCGAACCGTGTTTAAACAATAAACATCAGTGAACTCCAGCCTTGTCCTCCCGCGGTGCAGCTGACCATCCCAGCTTCAGGGCTTGGAATGATTCTGGCGCACTTCGTTTCAAATGGAGCGGCTCATAACAGGACCACGCTATATTTCTATAATTGTCTATACAACACATTGCAATACAATTTTGAACTATATATTATATATATAATTATATATACCTGCTTTACCGATCTACACCAGCTTTTTCAGTTCTGATACAGTAAGATCTGATAAGATCTGAGAAGATCTGATGACAAAGAAGGTACAGTCCGAAGCCTTTGGCTGCTTCCGGGTGAGGCCAAGAAGCCTGTGCCAGACTCCCGATGAAATCTGCCAAACAGCTTGAGCTTTGACCGGGCAGTTCCAGGCTGGAGTGGAAATATCATGAAATATCACAAGCATCTGCAGACGTACAAGACTGACCCTGCCCGGCAAACATGGGAAGTGCGCCTCAAAAGCGCGATCTATGAATCTATGTGCGTGGGAGTTCAGTCTGGTGCAAATACTACAATCTGCCGAAGCTGGATTTGCATGGATTTGCTATAAAACAGCACTGCGCCAAGCCTGCTTCACAAGAGGCCTCAGCAGTTGGCATTCATGCTCTGCCAGAGCACAGCTGTGAAACATTGTGAAACCGTCATTGAGACAGGCTGAGTGTGCGGCTCCTCAAACGACTTCATTGCTGAGATCAATGATGCCGGGAGTTGAAAGCAGAATTAGAATGTTCAGCTGAGCAGAATGTTCTTCAGCTGGGAATTGCTTGGAACAGTCGCATAGTCACGGAAAGTTTCCATGTTTTGTTTTGATGCTTCATAGTCTGCATTTCCGATTGTGCGCTGGGAATGGCGGCTTGGGCCATTCGAAAGACGTTCGCGGTTAGCCGGTTGGCACCAAGCACGGAAATCAACTGCTCCCTCCAAAACTTGACATGACAATCAAACTTGCAGTGTGAAATCTTGAATCCTGTTGGATGACAATCCCATAAACAACATTGCACACTTGACATTTCACTCTATGAGATGGAAACGGAGGCTGTCCTTGCATATTTTTGTTTGGTAAGGATGTGGTGTGGCATGACCTAACACCATGTTGTGTTCATTTCAGGAACTTGTCATGACTTCAAGCTGTGAGGGATTCAGGGGGTCCGATTCCAAAAACATCCAAGGCCATACGCATCCATAGTGATGCATATTCCATGTGCAGGAAGTGATCAGCCACTTCCATCAACTTTCTGCAGCCCTCTTACCCAGAGGCCTACCACCCAGCCACCACCGCCACCGTCGGTGGGGTTGACAGGAAAAGGACCTCATGCACAACTGCTCGTCTTTAAAAACTCATGTGTTTTGCATAAACGTGTGGGGTATCTCCAGACAGGTCCGCTATGTTGCCACATTGTTTCCTATCGAAAGTTGATCCACTACAGTGCTGCCTCGTCAAGAATCAATGGACACCTCCGTGAAACATGGTCCAAGGTGTTCTCTTCTTTGGCAGTATCATGCCAACTTCCGGTTCAAAAGGTTCAATGCGAACCCCCTTCCCTCACATGTTTCTAACATTTCCCAACTGGGGTTGGAGACTCCTCCCAACTCCAACTCAAACAACTCCACACTTCGGATAGCTTGGGCCAACTTGGGTCTCCAACAATTCCGTCCTGATGGACCACCACACACCCAGGGAACCTGAGGGAGTTGCTCCTGGCAAAATGTGGATGGAAATCACCGAGAAAATGCCGGCTGATTATGTTACATTATGTTACAGTATGTTACAATATGTTACAATGTTTACTAGGGTTGATTATCATGTCAAATCATGTTCCATGAAAATAGCCATTTGAGATCATTTGTAGGTACGCTATACCCCAAATTTTGGACAACCCCACTTGAAAGTTGCAGCCTTTGCATCACAATACCGGAGGTCCTTCAGATCTTTAAAGTGGGCTGGAGGCTTCATGGCGAAGTTCGTCAGAGCTGACTTGTTGGCAACCTGCAGCGTCTTGCAGACACACATTTTGCATCGTTTCCTCAATTCATCCAATCTATTCCGATCTTATTGAAAACAGCCTTCTTTGACGAATGTCAAACAATAGTATCAATGATTGGATGAACAAAAATAACAAAAAATAACAAAAATATTTCTGGAGTCCAAACCTTTCCAGATCTTCATCAAAAGCTGTGGACATGCACCTTCATCTTCAGGTCCTCGACTTCTCGCTGAATAAAGACGGCTGCCTCTGGACACATACCGCGGCCAAACGCACAACGCAACAGCGCCATGATGCGCCATGCCCAACGCCTTGTCGGTATCATGGAATTGCAGAATCATCTGGTAACCTTCTTCAGACAGTGCAGTGGTTGCTGGATCCTCAAAGAGGGCTCAGCAAATGGATCAACAATGACGCTGGGAAAAGACAAGAGGAAATAAAATGAATTAAAGAATGCATGTGGCCAGAATGGGATGCACCTGTCCTTGGTGACGATACATGCGGAATCCTCAGCGCGTGATCTCAGTGAAATGTTGCATTGCTCATTTGTAGGATTGTGGTGTCTACAAGAACCAAACAAGCCTGTATTGTATAATTAGTTGCATTCAATACAAAAATGATTCTTCTAGAATATCAAAATTGAAGAATATTGAAGATGTGGATTGCCCCGCTGCGTTCCATGTTTTTGCTTCTCGCACAAGCACGGCATCCACACGGGACGTCGGCGATTCAAGATGCTATCGCCGCACCAGCGCTCGGTAGCCGTAAAACTCGGCCCCTCTCTCACCGAAGGTCGTTCCGAAACGATCCAGGCCTTCGTAGACTTCCTTGGGCCAATCTCGCGACCAAATGGGATCCCCCACACTTGGAGGATCTCCTGGTGGGATGGCAGTGGGAAATGCAATTCGTACTTGGAGGTCGCCTGTCCCTTCACTCACCAGAACAGCCTTGGCCAATGCGTTGGGCATTGCTGGGCTTGAACGCTTTCGCAGGAAGAAGCCTTTCTTCTCGGGGTTTGACTCCAGCAACGCCAACCTCGATGGAAGGAACACCACGCCCATTTCGTAGGACCGCACACAGAGCTGTGTACCACCTTTTTGGACTTCACCCCAAGCGGATTTGCTGAGATTGTGCGAACCAATGTACAGCCAGAAAACGCCCGTAGTTTGGCCACTTTGGCCACTTTCCCCGGAAGTTTTCCCATCGAGTAGGCCAAAACGACAGAAGGTTTTCACGTGTGGCATGGCCTCGGCCCGCAGCTTGGCTCGACGATCGCAGCTTGCCCGGGCCGCGGATGGACCCCAGCGACGCCAGAGGGACTGGCAGCTGGTCACCGTGGCTTTGGAAATAAAAAGTGCCACACTTGAAACCCATCCTGCAGGGCAGATGAAAGATTGCGAGTGACAAGGAGGACTTGATGTGGAAATCGCTCAAAGTGAGGGAACTAGGGAATAAACTCACCATGTTCTGATACTGGTAGGTCCTGGTAGGTTTCATGTGAGCAAAGAGTTGGAGACCTGTCAAATACAAATGTGGCTATGGCTGATCAGAATCCTGGTACCCCAGCAGTGAACATCAAAATAGCTGATGTTTAAAGAAAGTTCGTGCCATTTCGTGCCCCAAATATATCCAAATAAGTCATCATCTGTCATAGATTTTGCTCCATAGCGGCACACTTTCTTGCCGTGCCTTCAACACTGTCCCTGATTTGCGAGACGGTGGGCGCAACCAGGTACATCGGTGGCTTGGCCTTGGTCGTTGCGGGTGCAGTTGTGGTCGCCAGGGTACTGTGAAAATCATCCAGCCATTTTTTGGGCAGGTTGCCAAAGGAGCTCGCCTGACAGATGATTCCATGCCCGCCCTGGCCCCCGCCCTCCGCTTCGATCTTCACATGGCGCGCCAGCAGCTGCTTCAGTCGCAGCTGACCCCAGTCCGACAGCTGCTGTCCAGAGTGATAGCCAGGGACGGAAGAGACGATGGCCACTGCGGCAGTGGAAAAATCATAACGGTCGAGCTCTGCCGCATCGAATCCACCACATTTTCCAAAATACTTGAAGAGCTGAAGTTTGAAGTCGTTTCCAAAATCATCTTCAGACTTGGAGGCATATGCCAAAGACTCGGGTGACTTTCCAGGGAAGTCCTGAAGGTACATTGCATTCGACTTCTCGTAAACGTCAGGAAACACATCATTGAAAGTACGGATGCAAACGCGCAAGCAGTTTTCATAGATCAGCAAAGCGATCTTGCTGTGGTGCGTCCCCCACTGGAGGGGCAGCGGTGGAGAATGTAGTTTTGTGACGAGGCCAAGATCTCTGCGTTCCTTCTCGATCTGTTTGCTAGCCTCACCACCATCGCCATAGAGAACCGTCAAACGAGGTACGCTGAGTAGAGATGGGCACTCCCGACACATCCAAGGCAAGTCGATCATAAAATTCACCAGAACCACATGGACTGCAGAAGTGTTTCCAAGTGGATGCCGTTCAAAGATATCTTGCAGGGTCAGCTCGTCACCTGTCAGTAAGGCAGCCTACCTGGAATCACGGCAGACCTTTGGGAACATTATATACTGTTGAGCAATGTTGAACCACAAAAAACACAAAAAATATGCTGGCAAAAAGCACTGATTACCACTTGCATATCTGTCACTGTGATCTTCCGAAGACTCTCGCAGCTTGTTCAGGAACAATGGTGCAACAGGAGTGGTTCCAGCTGTAGATGCACTGGAAGAGGCATCGGCATCGCATGTGCGCGCTCGTTTTGGAGCTGAGGGTGCAGCTTCCTCTTCAGATGAGTCCAATTCTAGGACTGTATACAAACTCTTTAAGAAGCTCATGGCTCAAGCCGAAAATATCTGAAGACTGCCATGCCCTCGTCAGGCAAGTTGCAGATAGTGAAGGCATGACATATCAAGAATTGCCAAGATCATCAAAGATCAAGTTGGGCAATTTGTACGACAGTCTGTGTTCGACACCAAGGACCAAGCCTGACTTCTGTATACTTTCGATGGCGCGAACATGGCCTCGTTGAAAGTTCTGGAGTGTGGGGACACGCAGTACATTCAGTATGAAGCATGTCAAATCATGTCAACTAGTCTGAAAGAACCAAACCCAGATTGCGATTCTTGTCATTTCCAACTGCGGCTGCTGGATTCCGTTCGCAAAGGCTGTGGGGTTCTGAGACAGTCTGAGACTACAGCTGCCCCACCAAAGTTGCAGTGTTCCAGCGGAGAGCTGTGGTCCGTCTGGTGACCGAGTCCACGAACAAAAGTGATGACACATGTGACACATGTGACACAAGCTCTTGGGATCGGATTTTGGGTCTGCCTCGACCGCGAAATACAAGCTAAACACCTTAACGCTGATGTCACAGGTGGTTTGATCCCTGTGTGCTTGAGAATCCCATTCTAGCAAGCCTTCATCTAAGTGTCATCCAAGGGTGATCCCCCTGCCAAACGTTTTGGCGACAACATCTGTTTCAGAGAGAAATTGGACTATGCGTGTGGTTTTGCCAATGTTTTACGCTGAATCTGAGTGCGTCACATAGTCGGCATGTGCCCACACGTCCTGTCTTCAGCAATGTCACAACATCACTGCGCACTGCTCTGCACAGTGCGCCTCGCTGCAAAAGCTGGGCAGGTCGCTGCAGTTGAAGGAGTGAAAGTTCCCACAAGTCCAGCCGATGGCCTGCAACTGAAGATCATGAAATGTCAGTGCCATAGTATTATATATATATACACATATATCCGCCGACCCCGGCAGACGCAAGGGGGAGTGCGCCAGGGAATAAGACATTCGACCCTTGTTTCGGACTACTACCACTATAGGGTAGAAATGCATATAGCCAGTATAGCCAGTAGCAGAAGACAAAAGTAGCTAAAATCAGTTAAAATCTTTGTTTTCTGTGGGTTTCAGAAGTTACATCCTTTGCTGCCATGGTGTTTTCCCATCCGGGAGGTGCCTTTTGCAGCAGCAGCAGCAGGAGGAAACAGAAGGAAAAAGTAGCAAGAATATGCTAAAATCATCCTTTTCTCTGGGTTTCAGAAGTTAGGAAAAAGTAGCTAAAATCATCGTTTTTTATAGGTTTCAGAAGTTACATTAGGGAGTTTTTGGGCGCAATTTTGATGCTTTTCCGTCCTTCGCTGCCATGGTGTTTTCCCATCCGGGAGCTGCCTTTTGAACAGAAGGAATTTCAGCAGCAGCAGCCTGCCATGGTGTTTTCCCATGCAGCAGGAGGAAAAGGTAGCCAAAATTCATAGCAGCAGCAAGAGGGAAAAGCAGCCAAAATCATCATTTTCTATGGGTTTCAGAAGTTACGTTAGGCATTTTCGGGTGCAATTTTGGAGCTTCTCCGTCCTTCAGAGGCATGGTGTTTCCCTGGTGTTTTCCCATTTGGGGACCGGATGTAAAGGTAGCCAAAATTCATAGCAGCAGCAAGAGGAAAAAGGAGCCAAAAGCATCATTTTCTATCGGTTTCAGAAGTTACGTTAGGCATTTTCGGGGTGCAATTTTGGGGTTTCTCCGTCCTTCAGAGGCACGGTGTTTCCCTGCCGGGAGGTGATTTTTTCCATGGTGTTTTCCCATCCGGGGACCAGCAGCAGCAGCAGCAGAAGCCTCTGCAGCAGCATGAGGAAAAGGTAGCCAAAATTCATAGCAGCAGCAAGAGGAAAAAGCAGCCAAAATCATCATTTTCTATGGGTTTCAGAAGTTACGTTAGGCATTTTCGGGGTGCAATTTTGGGGCTTCTCCGTCCTTCAGAGGCATGGTGTTTCCCTGCCGGCAGGTGATTTTTTCCATTGTGTTTTCCCATTTGGGGACCGGATGTAAAGGTAGCCAAAATTGATAGCAGCAGCAAGAGGAAAAAGGAGCCAAAAGTGTCATTTTCTATGGGTTTCAGAAGTTACGTTAGGCATTTTCGGGGTGCAATTTTGGGGCTTCTCCGTCCTTCAGAGGGATGGTGTTTCCCTGTTTTCCATGGCGTTTTCACATCCGAGGACCAGCAGCAGCAGCAGCAAAAGCCTCTGCAGCAGCAGGAGGAAAAGGTAGCCAAAATTCATAGCAGCAGCAAGAGGAAAAAGCAGCCAAAATCATCATTTTCTATGGGTTTCAGAAGTTACGTTAGGCATTTTCGGGGTACAATTTTGGGGCTTCTCCGTCCTTCAGAGGCATGGTGTTTCCCTGCCGGCAGGTGATTTTTTCCATGGTGTTTTCCCATTTGGGGACCGGATGTAAAGGTAGCCAAAATTGATAGCAGCAGCAAGAGGAAAAAGCAGCCAAAATCATCATTTTCTATGGGTTTCAGAAGTTACGTTAGGCATTTTCGGGTGCAATTTTGGAGCTTCTCCGTCCTTCAGAGGCATGGTGTTTCCCTGGTGTTTTCCCATTTGGGGACCGGATGTAAAGGTAGCCAAAATTCATAGCAGCAGCAAGAGGAAAAAGGAGCCAAAATCATCATTTTCTATGGGTTTCAGAAGTTACGTTAGGCATTTTCGGGGTGCAATTTTGGGGCTTCTCCGTCCTTCAGAGGCACGGTGTTTCCCTGCCGGGAGGTGATTTTTTCCATGGTGTTTTCCCATCCGGGGACCAGCAGCAGCAGCAGCAGAAGCCTCTGCAGCAGCATGAGGAAAAGGTAGCCAAAATTCATAGCAGCAGCAAGAGGAAAAAGCAGCCAAAATCATCATTTTCTATGGGTTTCAGAAGTTACGTTAGGCATTTTCGGGGTGCAATTTTGGGGCTTCTCCGTCCTTCAGAGGCATGGTGTTTCCCTGCCGGCAGGTGATTTTTTCCATTGTGTTTTCCCATTTGGGGACCGGATGTAAAGGTAGCCAAAATTGATAGCAGCAGCAAGAGGAAAAAGGAGCCAAAAGCGTCATTTTCTATGGGTTTCAGAAGTTACGTTAGGCATTTTCGGGGTGCAATTTTGGGGCTTCTCCGTCCTTCAGAGGGATGGTGTTTCCCTGTTTTCCATGGCGTTTTCACATCCGAGGACCAGCAGCAGCAGCAGCAAAAGCCTCTGCAGCAGCAGGAGGAAAAGGTAGCCAAAATTCATAGCAGCAGCAAGAGGAAAAAGCAGCCAAAATCATCATTTTCTATGGGTTTCAGAAGTTACGTTAGGCATTTTCGGGGTACAATTTTGGGGCTTCTCCGTCCTTCAGAGGCATGGTGTTTCCCTGCCGGCAGGTGATTTTTTCCATGGTGTTTTCCCCTTTGGGGACCGGATGTAAAGGTAGCCAAAATTGATAGCAGCAGCAAGAGGAAAAAGCAGCCAAAATCATCATTTTCTATGGGTTTCAGAAGTTGCGTTAGGCATTTTCGGGGTACAATTTTGGGGCTTCTCCGTCCTTCAGAGGCATGGTGTTTCCCTGCCGGCAGGTGATTTTTTCCATAGTGTTTTCCCCTTTGGGGAGCGGATGTAAAGGTAGCCAAAATTCATAGCAGCAGCAAGAGGAAAAAGGAGCCAAAATCATCATTTTCTATCGTTTTCAGAAGTTACATTAGGCATTTTCGGGGTGCAATTTTGGGGCTTCTCCGTCCTTCAGAGGCATGGTGTTTCCCTGCCAGGAAAAAGGAGCCAAAAGCTGTTTAATCCCTTTTCCGGGGTCGGCGGCAGGGGCGGCAGCCCTTAAATAATCATATATATATATATATGATTCTTTCATTAACAAATCTAAGAAGGAAGTGACGTCTAACAATATATATTCCAGCATGTTATAAGTCATGCAGGCCACGTAACGGGTATCACAATGTGAGCGAGACGGCTCACAAATTCGAGTTGATTGATCATCTATGATGTTCGTCCAATTAAAATCAATAAGAGTCTTGGATAGCCACTCTCTTTGGTCGATCGCATCCTCCAATGTAATTGTAGGGAAACGTGCCTCTCCAACAGTATCCTGATCGGCAGATCGGTCAGCAACGCATGCGGCCATTGCCTTCAGAAATGATGGCATAGCAAGGTTCGATGTCTGTGCTTGTGTGCGCATGGTCCTGTATTCTGGTGAAGGTGATAACAAGTGTTCTTCGAAGGGAAATCATGTTTATCAGAAGACATTTGGCATATCACGTGTCTTCAGCATCAGCATTCCCAATAAACACCCCCTTGTTCAACTTTGACCTTTTATATAACTTTTAATGATGTTCGTGTGTTGTTCTATTCTTTGATAAGGAGAAATCAACATCTTGCTGAAATCCTCGGATGCTGAGGCACACACATCCCACAGGACCCATGATGGATGCTGACCTGCAGCGGAAAACTGTGCCCTGAGCTCTGCAACTGGCTGGTTGAGGGCAGGGTTCCCAGGCTGCATTAGCTCAAAATCCGCATCAACCGTCGCAGTGTTTGGTACTGGTAACATCTGGTAACTCCATGTTGTTTGCCTTTTTTGCCATGAACCACCATTGATTCATTGTTGGAGCCATGCTGAGTTCCCAACCAAGTTCATCGACCATGGAAGCAAAGCTCAGACCGCTCAACCTACGCACTGTGACCTGGCTGGTCTGCTCAAAGAATCTCAAGGATTGTAGGATCTTGGTTTAAGTACACCGGTATAAATTATGAACATTTACCATGATTTGACATGACTTCACAAGCAAAAGTGTGGATATTACCAAAAATGGACAAGCATTTTGCATCAAGAATGGTTGAATTGACAAACTGGATGGACCGAGTAGTACTTCATTTCTGCTGGCCACACCCACTTCAAAGAAATATAAGAAATTGCATCAGCATGCCCTAGGTTCATTGCATCATCTGAATCCATGGTTTTCGTTTGTGCGGAATTCTTCGTTCAGTCTTGGTTTGCTCAACATTTCCTGGGTGGTGTCACACCCTTCTCAGCCTCCAGCGTCTGTTTGGCGTACCTGAAGGCTTATAGCGGGTACCATTCCCATCCTGTCCATCCTGTCCCTGGAATTGATCCCGGCCAGCACTGAGTCCAGGACTTCGTAGCAAAATTCACGAGAGCTTTGTCATCTTCCACGTCACCTGTGCTGCTATGCTTCAATGGATTCAACATGATTCGACAGAACATTCAACCAGTGCAGCAGCGGTGCAGCAGCGGAAAACCACGTCCAAAAAGACTGCCTCCCATGTGCCAGATCACACGACGCACAAAGTCTGCCTCAGTGAAGCTGAGAAACCCAGATCAGGGCTAGTCGGGTATGGTCTTCCCAATGGGTATATTAACTCCTGTTAATCGGGGGATGACACCATGCCCTTATATTGGGAAAATCATTAAGCAACGTTTTGACCAGATTTGACAATTACATGGTTCAGTTCACCGTTCTCAGTGACGTTCATGCAAAAGCTGTTGAGAAATCTGAGGCTTCCAGCCATCTTATTCACGCTCTTGGTTGAGAGTATGGCCTGCAAACCCTGTGAGCTCCCGTCAAAATCCTTTACATATGCGTAGTTGCTATTGTTATGGTTATCGCTTTTTGGGGGGGGGGGCCTATCGCTTTCCAGGGTTTCGTGGAAATCAGCATATTCGAGATCCAATATGAAGCGAAAATCCATTCCTAAACAGGCTCGGAAATGGATCGAGCAGTTGTTTTGTCGGTTTCAGGTGCTTCGGAAACACTTCATGTTCCTTTCATTTTCCTTTCACGTTCCTTTCATTTTCCTTTTATGTTCCTTTCATTGGTACTCATGTCCATTCATTTTCCTTTCATATTCCTTTCATGTTCATTCCAATGTGCATTCATGTCCTCTCATCTTCCTTTCATTTGCACGCATGTTCCTTTCATTTTGCATTCATGTCCTTTCATTTCCTTTCTACAGTTATGGAAATGGCTCGATGGCTTGGCCAGGGAACTGAGTGCAACAAATGGTTATCGCTAAGTTATCGCTAAGGTTATCGCTAAATAACCCCTCCAACACATGACATTGTTCGAAGGAAATTTGCAACAAAACGAGAGAGAGAGAGAGAGAGTGAGCGAGTTGGATGCCAAATGCTATGGTAATTGCAGGAAACAGGGCACCACGGGTTGAATTTCCCGCATCGGTTTTGCCCGGCCCGTTCTGTGAATGTGCACAACAGTATTTGCTTGGTTTACGCCAAGTTTGATGGAATGTCGTGTATGGTCCCAGATTATCGCTTTTGGGGGGTCCCTATCGCTTTACAGTGTTTCGTGCACATCTCTGACAAAAAAACTCCTGCAATACTAAAGTAGTCTTCAACATTCTTCAACCATTTTGATCGTTGTTCATGTGGATCTCAGGAGATGTTCCGGCACAAGAATCCACACTCGCCTGGTAGCCATCTTCGGACAAAGGAACCTGAACATTGATGAACATTGTGCTGAATCAGACAATGCCTTTTTTTACGTGTCCCGCGTTCGTGACTTGACGTGTCAAAATGTCCGCCTTCTTGGGATCGATCACGCACAACTGGTCGTCAGGGATTCCTTCACCTTTCGCAGCCGTAGCCAGCAGCCAGAAGCTGCCAGAAGCTGCCAGAAGCTGCCAGAAGCTGCTTGATGTCTCTGACAGTCTGATGACTCTGCATAACTCATAACTTTAACTCATATCTCCGCTCTGCTCCCTAAGCCACGCCTTCAAAGCCTACAGTCAGAGAATCCGCGATGGTGTTGCCAGGATCTTTCGCGTCCTGGATCTTCATCAAACACCTCGCTTCTATCCGAGTGCTGTTACGGAAACTACGTCTTCAAAATCAGGGCAAGGCAATCGGTTTTGAAATGGGCATAGGCAATCCATATCTCAAACATACTAGACTTATCCAGACGTCCTTTGCAATTTCCCATGCATCTTCTCAGTGTCTATGGCTGCTGCCAAACAGGGAACTCCACACCAAAGAAGTTCATCTCCGCAAGCGAGATCTGCCCGAGTCCAAACCTTACTTTCTTTCAGGCGCTGGCCCTTGCTACCTTTATAGAAATTGTTAGCAAATCATCGCAAGTCTTCATACAAACTGAGCCAGCAACATGCCAAAGTCCATCTCTGTTCCGCCCTTGTCATACCGCACTTGGAACTCAAAGAAACTAACTCCAACCTCATTCACTGGCATACAAGGATGCACCATGATGCACCATCCGATTTTGTATTTTGTAGTATCGTCGACTCAAGGCCCTTCGTACTACAGTACATGGTGGCATGCATACGTCCGCATAGGTGGAGCCTAATTCCAAAGATATACCCTCTGTGCCCTGATACACTGTAGATGGTCTATCAACGAAACATACTGCTGTCAAGGCACTAATGCGTCGCTGTTCTTGGCAACTTCTATCACATCATGGATGTCCTTGGCAGTGCATGGCAGTGCATAGCGACCTTCTGGCGGCAAGAACGAGCTTGGTAAGGTCCCTGGAGATTGTTGTGTCATCGAACTCAAAAGCAAATGATATCACAGGATAGCTCATCAACAAAACTCCCCATGGATTGACGAAGCCTCTCAACACTTGCAAGCTGTTTCGTGTGCACATGCACTGCCCGTCATGTCCTTCTTGGTGCTCACATGAGTGGAGTGGTACTCGCCAATAAACACAGGGGTGCTGTCAAAGTTGGCCTTCAGAAAGGTCGAAGTTGGCTAAGAAATGCAGGCCATCTAGGCTTCAAATGCTGGAGCCCTGACTTTGCAGAACAAGACATGTCATATTTTGGTCATGATGTCATGATGTCATGGTGTCATGATCGTTCCTCGTAGTCATTGAGGAACAAGGGCTTCATGTCGTTCGCGGGGTTTGCAGTATTGAAGCTGTTGGTAAACCTTCAAAACGAGCTCAGGGCTGTTGAGGGCTGTTGAGGGCGGATGGGGAACACAAGCTGGACAAGCTGGGCTGAACCTGGTCTTGTACACCTCGGCCAAATTGTTGTTGGCCTCGTAGCCAACATCCTGCCATCCATTGCTATCCATTGCTATCCTTGGCCTATGACTTACTCTAGTAACTATAGTATTCATCTGTTCAAAGGCTCCTCCGGTTTCTCCATGGCACTCCGTAACTCCATCATCTGCAGGCAGAAACATCAGTAATCAGTATGTGTTTCCGTTTCCTGCGGTCTTGCAAGTCTCTGGTTCCCTTTTCCAAGTTCATCATCCAATTAAGCCTTCAGCAAAGCTGAAATGTATTGCACAAATTTGCAGAGGATGTGACTCCATTTCAAGTCGCTTTAAAGGTTCTATTCTCACGACAGGTTTCAGCTGATGAATTGATCGCAATATATCGCAATCAGGTTGCCATGCGACATGCCTGGCCAAGAGCAGGTTTGCTGGATCCTTTGCAAGCCTTGGAAAATCCAGGCGGTAAATCGGTGTCGGTGCCAGAGCTTCCATCCTCCATCCAATCTGTGCTTCAGACCGTGCACTGGCCGAAGGAGAAGGTCGCGGTGAAGTTTATCAAGTTGGACTTGGTGTCCGTTTCCTGCCACGGCTGTCAGAAAGTGTTGATCAAACAGAGTCGAACAAACCACTGAACCGATCTGCAGGCCTTTTCCGCATCGATCATACCGTCAATGGCACTCACAATGGCCCTGTAGGGTGCAATGCTAAAGGCTGGGAGGGAAGTTGCATGGTTTCATTCTTGGTGATTGGCCAATGTCGTTAGCACTTTTGGAATATGATGCAGCTTGCAACCCACCTGCAGAACTCAGTGGGCTTGGAAATGCCAGGAATCTTGAGATCTGGCTCGTTGATCACTATGATGGTCCTCAAGGGCTGCTTCTGAGACTTCAACACCAGAATCAATTCTATTTTGATATATTTGAATCATGATCAAGCAAGAAAAGAATATGAAGTGTCAATCTGATGAAGCGACTGGCTGAAGAATATCTAAACATCACCAAACCAAAACAACAAAAATCTAAGGATCTGACTTGAGTGCTCCGTGGTATGCACCATCTTTAGCAAAGCCGTTCTGCAACATACTTTTGTACTGTTCCTTGATCTGCGAATAGCAGTTGAAGTCCTGTCAACAATTGACTTGATATCGCGTCAACAAATCTGCCATTACGAAGAAAAGGCGTCTTTGTTGACAACAAGATCAAAACCATGTCAGTTTTACAAGCAAAACCTATAGACCTAGAAGAGTTCGAACTAAAACCTCATGAGGTGTTTTCCTTCTAACTTGGCCATTCGTCGATCCCGGTCCGTCGTCATACAGTTCTTGGGCATCTGTGTGTAGGGATAATCGCTCATCCCAGGAATGACCTGCAACATGCTCTGACAAATTTTGGCGCATGCAGATCTTTGGTGAAACGGCACGCCTGCAAACCCTGCACTACAGCTTCATCCAAGAAAGGCGTGTGATCCTGCGGCAGAAACAATTGGCAGCCCGGAAATGATCAGCCAAAAAAGAAAAGGTGGTTGGGTTTGCCAGGAAAGTTTTTACTGTTTTTGAAAATTGTGTTTTACATTGTGTTCTTTCTTAGGTTTGTCTAAAGGGAGCCGGTTTACAAATAACGACAGGGAAGTGCATACATTAATAGGCCTTCAGGCAAGGACATTGGCTGCTCTTGCGCGCTTCCTGTGCTCCCGTCGCTAATCTGCGATTCTGCTGGCGAAACACACATCAACGAACACCTTACGTGATGATCCTGCAGCGCCATGCAGCATCTCCTCCGGTTTTGACACAGGGAAAAAAGGCAGCATCGTAGCAGGGAACCTGTCGCTTTTTAGCTCAGGCTGCACCTGTTTCGATTCAGTTCCAAAGCGCCAGGAAGCGGCCTTCCATCTTTCAAGTCCTTCAAGAAAGCATGTTCTGCTATCGCTACAAAGGTCTCATCCGAAATCATACTTCCAAAATCCACCAAAACGGCGACCACCACGTCGACTTGCCAGCGGTGCGCTAAGTCCAAGGCATGTCTGGGTATATATCTGGACGGTCTTGCACTGAGGAGTACAAAATCCCAAGGAAGAGTGACACAGCGCAGCTAGATGCACCCTTCATGGCGCTGCCAACAGGAGATGCTGCGTTCAGCTTCGACACCCTCTGTCGAGTGGCAAGCCTTGGGAATCTGGACCATTTAGCGTTTCCTGCAATGCTTGCTGCCAAGCCAGCGACAATGCCTTCTATGAAATTGCATTCAAACCCTCGCGCTCCATCTTAAGGACATATCCTCGCCTGTGCATTTCTGGGTAGTGCTTGCCCCAGAGCGGATCAGCCGCTGGATTCTGTTGAATGAATTCTGAAATCTTGCTTGGTGCTGGAAGAGCCCTGCTTCAATACGAATGACCACATATTCCCATCTTTCTGGCGGATGGGCGTCCAAACCTATCCAAACCTCCCAGCAAAGCGCAATCGGCTCGCCCGCAGGTTGCATGAACGGCAGCATACAATCACGATCAATAGATATCGATAGCTTCTACATGAGGGTTTCCTGCCTAAAATGGTTTGGCCCCAAAACCATCCAAATTTGATATTTTTTCTGGGAATCCAACCTCCTTGGTGAAGAACATGTAGTCTGCATACACTATGTGCTCTTTTGATCTCTTTTGGATCTTCCTTTCTTCGGTGATGATGCTTGTCACGTCCTTGCCACATCACGCATACTTCGCACCACGGTTCGAAGTTTGCATGATGCAACTCGTGCTGGGCTTTCTCTTCTGCTGATGGCGGTACGGGAACTGGTACTTCTTTGGCTTGTCCCGCACCTCTCTCATTCTCATCAACTTGAAATCTCACTTGTTCCGGCTTTCTTTGCGCTGATCTTTCTGGTTCTGCGATTGGTGATTCTGGTTCGTACGGTTCATCTTGATTGTCCGCTAAGCCTGACCCAAGCCCTGGCTCTCCTGGAAACAAGTCCTCAGACATGGTTTCCTCTTCACCTTCATATTCAACTTCTGGATTGTTTCCTTTTGGCACTGGTTCTTCTGGACACGGGCCGAAGCTTGAACATTGTCTTTCCAACCCATCGCTTGCACATGTGCTTCTGCAATCCAATGCGGTTGTTCCCAATACTCTCATGGTCCAGCACTTCGCCATCCTTGATGAAAGTGATGTGTGTGTGTGTCACTCTGCCTGGCATGGTTCTTCTGCAATCTACCGGCAAACCTTTCATCTTACAAACAGAAGAACTCTCGGCGTGCTGTCTTTCCGACCCAAGCACTCCTCATCGTCAATGATCTCAGTGCTCCGTTCATCGTAGTCTGCGTAATCCTTGTCTTCATCATGTTCAGGACCTACTGGAGCAATTCTACCGTTTCTCGCTCCTGTCTCACATGACCTTACTTGGCCCACTCGGCGATACCATCTTTTCCCATGCTTCTCCAACGGCATTGTCTCTCCGTTGGACATCACAACATAGCTCTCATTCTTGGTGAAATGCACTTCGTTTCCCTTCTCTGTCATTGAGTTCACTGACAGAAGACTTTCTGCTGCATCTGCCACGGCCATTTCCATGGTTCCGTGTCTGCTGCCAACTTGCATGGTATACTGCTTGCCATAGACTTTCAGTAGTGTTCCTTGGACACTGAAAAGTGGTTTCGCTTTACTTCCGTCGGTCGGGGCTCGGAAGTCGCCGTTCTTGGCCACGTTCTCCCATGCTCCGGAGTAATCTAGAAGAAGCTTGCACCCGTCACTCGCTGCTACGTACCTTTGCGCCATCGTCCACGGTGAAAATCACCTTGTCGTGGTCATAACCCTCATGTATGGCTGCTACACTGCTGGATCCTCCAGTCAAACCTTTCACCTCGGTTTTAGGCGTTCTGAGCTCCTGACTGGGATTCTACGCAGCTGACTTTCCACCAGCAGCTTTCAGCAATGCGACCATACTTGCCACAAGTTCTGCACTGCTTCCCGGCGTGCGTGTCCTTTTCCCTTTTGGTCGGACTTGCCTTTGCCCTTACTCTTTCCTTTACCTTTTCCCTTTGTCGTCCTTTCCTTTGGACCCTTTTCCTTTTCCATCATCTTTCTTCCAACTTTGCCAACTTTGCGCGTGCTCTTGTTTGCCTTTTCCTTTTCCTTTCTGAGAGTCTCTTCCACCTTTGTTTGCTTTTCCTTTTTCTTTGTGGCCACCAACTCCCCAATGTCCATCGGTTGTGGTCATCCACCATCATCCACCTTGTTTGCCATCTTTGTCAACCCAAATTGGGATCCTTGCGGCCGCTTCCACAGATTCTTGTTCACCAAGTATTGCTCTATGTAATCCCTTATTTTGCTGTATATATCCAAAGCGTCTGAGTGTCTGAAAATGCTCTGTTGCAGTTGGTTCCTTAGGCGCCACTATGATTGACATCTTTTCATCTTCTGAAAACGCAATTTTGAATTGCCTCTCGAACTCAGGCATTTCTGATTCCCACTGATGCAATGATGTGGACCATTGCGAAACATCATTGGGAAAAGTGGGATTTGCTTAGTGCCGTCGCCAGACCCATGCCTTAGTCCGGCAAGCTGGCTCACTCAGCTTCATCAGTCTCCTCCAGATTTCAAATCCGTTTTCGTCCGTGAAACCTTGGCCAATCACATTCATGGTAGGTTTGGGACAGTATTGAATCAGGAACGTGTACATCGCCTTAGACAATCGCTCCTCCTCAGGCCTGTAAACTTCCATGTCAAGTGGTTTGTCCTCACGTCCGGCTTTGTCCAACAGTCTGGGAAAGTCCTTGTGTACTGCCGACGTCCAGGCCATGAAGATGTGCTTGAATTTCTCCCATTCCTCTTTCTTGTCATTGTACTGCGGAGGTTTGGGCACGTTTGAGGGGTGAATTAGCTGGGTTTCTCTGCTGCCGCTGCTGCTGCTTGCTTGTTCCTGCAGCTTCGCCTTAGTGTCTACTAGCTCCTGCTCAGCACTAGTTAAACGATCTCTCTGGCTTTCATACGCGGCATTGGCTCTAGCCAAACCCTGAACTAATTCTGCCGTTTGGGCACTCAACTCATTAATTCTTGCTTGCATCTGAGCTACTATTTGCTGATCAGCCATTCTGCACACGCAGGCTGATTTGTTTCACTGCGGTTTGGCTGCGGTCTACTGTACAGAAAAACTATGGTGCAGCTCCTAGTCCTACACCAGAAAACGAGTCTACCAACCTAGTAGCGGTAGTATCCGCTCCAAGCCGTAAGGGCCGAAGTGGCGATACCCACGATTCCGCCAACCACGCCAGTCTCCACCACCGTAGGCGTAGTTCCACCAAGTCTCCTGCGGCCGGTTGCCCCAGTTCGTAGACCTGGTGTCGTTCGACTCGTAGGAGTAAGTCGCTGTAGCCACTGCTTGTCCAGTTCCTTCACTCCCACGTGCTGGCTCCTCGTTCTCCACAGGCATCTCCTTCTGCACAACGCTCTGGGTGTTGTTGTCTGCAGGCTTGGCTTCGCTGCCGGGTCTCACCCGGTCTTCTTCGATGAGGGCGTTTGCTGTCAGCGCCATTGTTGCCACGGTCCGTCGTGGCTTCGGGTCACCACGCAGCTGCACAACGCTGCTATGGCTCGCGCAGCTACAAGCTACGCGGTAGTACCCGCAAGGTATCCGGTCGTAACCGGTGGAGCGGTCCCAGGCGGCTGGGAAACCAGCTCCGCTACCATGCGAAGCAGAGAAACTAGCGCACTCGTACCTTTTCTTGAGCTGTGGTACAGGGCTGCAAATGCCATGCTATTGGTGATGTCACCAACTGCCACAACTGCACGTGGTGCGTTCACAGGTACCCCTACTTTAGCAAATCCCCATATACACCTTCTCCAACAAAGCACTACAGTGTCACCACTGATACAAGGTCATGAGCTCATCCGCGTGTCCTCCCGAGGATCATTGCCATACAGACGCACCTCAAAGTTGTGGCTACAACATGACCGATTCAAACGCTGCAGCTAGGAAATAGGAAGGCTCAAATAAATGTCACCATTGCCAGTTGTCAAATCCAACGCATTTCATCACCATTGTATTACTGTAGAAAATTATAGAATACTGTATATCATATCATATGTATGTGCATCTCCATCTCTTGGCTGGATGAAATGAAGTTGTGGAAGCTCCAGCGTGGAAACCTGCCATGGTCCCTGAGATGACAACTGCATTGGCGCCCAGTCTTTTAATGATATGCAGATCTCCTCGCCCAGAGGTACTCCACTGGGCCTGCCGGGATGTTCATCAACCCACATCAACCCAGTTTTGGGGTGTTCAATGTCCAAATGGAACATAGGACATACGAATATTCCAGAATATGCCATGCCTTGGCTGAAGTCGACATGAAGTCATCGTTGGGCAACTTGCCAGCTTTCTGGTCGCGGCAAGGTTTTCCGGTTGGGAGCGTTGAAGGTGGGACATGGATGAGTGACATATCGACACGGCGCTGTAGCTCCTTCAAAGGAGCAGGACCATAGCTGATGCCCTTCAAGAGCTCCTCAGAGGCTGCGGGATGTCAGGGACCATGGCCATTTCCAGTGTTACGAGCATGTCTAAGTTGCATGCTATGAACTTCAGGAAAGGCATAGGTCAAATATTATCAGGTGTTCTGAACAAACGCTGGGTTTGTCTCTACCGGAAGTTCTTTGTGCCTGAGTCATCACCCACATCCCGTCCCCCCATAGAATGCGCGCTCGTGCTTGTCAGCGGTCCTTCGCGGCTGTAGCTCCTGGCCTGCACAATTTGCATGGCCGGGGAAAAAAAAAACGTTCATGTCGTATCTAAAGTGTGGCACTGAAATTCTCACGCGCCTGTATCTGGCATGATATATCTACGTGACAAACTTTGAAAGCAATCAGCCTTGTGAGTAGAAGCAGCAGGGGCAGCACCCACGCTCTAGATGCCATAGCCTGCAGCGCCCAAACAAAATCATGGAAACGCTGCATTAGGTCACATAAGACAACAAAACATCAGAAAGAGAAAAAGGTATTCAAATGTCCTTTCTGGAAAGCGGTTGCAGAGCTAACATAATTTAATTCTTTTGAATGTTCAAACCTTGTTCAACTCCTGATCCACCGCAAAGCTTCCTCTCAAGCTGTCGGATTGTTGCCTGGAGAGGATCCTATCAGCTGATGGCAATAGCTAAAACCGTCGTTTGTGGCCCAAAGGCAGTTTGGAGAGTTCCATTGGGGAGTCCATCTTCACAGGTTAAAAGTTGATGCCAAGTTGATGCCAATGGAACTTCCATTGGGGAGTCCATCTTCACAGGTTCAAGATGTCCAGGTTGAAAGTTGATGCCAAATTGCGTCAAACTCACAACCCATGCGTCACTATGTTCCAATGTCTGAGACACCAATGGCAGCAGTGTACATCATAGGGGCCATCATAGGGGCAGGCCACTGTCTATGTTCAACCCGGCCAAACATGCATGATGCGTGCAGTGGCAAAGCAAGAAAAACAGCGACATTAGTGCCAACGCGGCGAAGAATGACTATTCTTTGCAGAGTATCCAACAGAATATTCATCCCTGGATTGCTGTACGGTGCACTTTTTTGCACTAAACCACATGTCTGCACTCGGTCATGACAATCGCCTCTCACATTCGCAGCCTGAGGCCAAACCAATGTCGGGTGTCCTAACTGAAATGTTGTCTCGATTTGTCTCGTCCCGTGGGACATGTTGCACGATATTCGCAGGTCAAGTTCTTGATCCTTAACTAGTCGTATTGCGACCTGAAACCCACCACGTGATCGAAACATGCCAATGCCATGAATGCGATATGGCCTTCCTGCACAAAGCTCTTTGCCTACGAATCATGCACCTACCTTCCATGTGCTAAGAACCAGGCCAAATACTTTCAAAATCCAGTTTTCGAAGACAAGGCCATTAATAGCAACTATATAATAGCAACTGATTGCAATTATAGCAATTGATAGCAATGCAATTCAGCAAAGAATAGTAAAGAATAACAAATCCCTTTTTCATCCGAGACTCCTCCGAAATGCAACTTCTCAGTGCCGCATGGCTGGCGCCGTCCAAGACATAAAGGGTCCTTGGTGGGGAGTGACCTGCAAATGTAGGGATCTAGGATGATTTGTGGATCTTTAAAAGATACTACTAGTATTTGATATCTATGAAAAAAACAATACATGACAATACATGATCGTGATTTGTTGATTGAATCTTGCTGGCGTGAACACAACATCTGCTGGAATAAAATGAGCACAGCTTCCCATTGCAATGTTTTCTCTTCTCCCGTCATATCCAAGGGTCCAGAAGTCGGCGCCACAAACTCTTCAACAGGTTCTTGTTCCCGAATAGCTTCCGCCTGGTAACTGAATTCATCAAACAAACTTGTACGGTAAACCCAACCGTCAACATACCATTTGCGAATAGTGGTACTATTGGGAATGGTTTATGGATTGGGTTTAACCATGTTTAACCACATTCTAAAAACTCCGTACCACCCGCTCGAACAACATTTAAGGGGCCTTCGGCAGTGGAGCGACGCCCACCAAGGAGCATGGCTCTTCCACCGACTCAGATGTGCCCTGCTTCTCATCCGCCCTGGGAAAACAACCCAAGGATCGGATGAATTTGACAATTGAAAAGACCTGAGAGATCTAATCCAACCTTCCCTCTGCCCCGAGTTTCACTGTCATCTATCATTCAAAACCCTTCTGAAGATGTTCATAGTTCATAGATGCCTTTCAACTAAAACGCTTTTTCCCTCGAAGGTGCGGACCACAGAGTGAGAACACCGGTGGTCAGCTAGAGGTATGTCAGGGGGACTAAAGTTGTTCAAAAAGGCCCGCTGACAAGTCCCCAATAGTCCCCATACCTCTAGAGGCTCTAGACTGACTATCACAAGTTTCGGTCTATTTTCTCCGAGGTCTCTCAGCCAATCTTTTCACAACATCTTTCTCGTAGCCACTCACAGACATGCACAATGTATCACAACGTTACTTGCAACGCAGATCCGTATATGTGCATGTTCTATGATCTTGATGTCAAATGTAAAATCTTAAGACAAATTCTTCGAATCTAACAGGTCTCCAACTCTGCAAGTTGATATCCTATACATGCAGCCCCCTGCGGGGCCTTTGTCCCTGCGCTTCCAGAATCGGCGCTTGATTTGAAGGTGCAGGAACCAGTGGCACATGTGGGCCCTGGGCCCAAAAGTTGGCAGCAGATGAGATTAAGTACCTGTCGGTCTGTCGGTGGTTGACATGAAAATGTTGTTGTACAGATCAGAAAAGGACGTGCTGTGTGCAGTTACAGACTGCTACAGATTACATCACCTTCCCGTCGCAATTTGATCAACACTTCGGTCAATGTCCTTCTTGTAACTGTCTCTGCGACATTGTTTGTGCGTTGGTGTTGAGTCGAGGCCATGAGGCCACAGGAAAAGCTGGCAACAGAGGCAAATGCTGCCGAGTCACCCAGAAATGTCCTGGCTCTCCTCGCCCTGCAGTTTTTGCAGAAGGAATCGAACCTGACACAAAATGAAACAGATGAAAACAAATGAAAAACAGATGGAAAAACAGATGAAACAAATATGCTCGGTGTATTGATCAACGTTCATCACATCAGGTCTGTGGGAACGGTGCGACCAACTAGTCAACTAGTCGAAACAGCGTTTCAGTAGCAAGGGTCTGCATGAATGTGCAGGACTGAGGACTGATTGATTTAACCATCGACTTTTGGATGTTCTCATCTACACAAACATGTGTTTTAATTGTGTTTCATAATTTTCTTATAGTTCTAGTCTGGATTTCCAGTGTGCCTCGAGTGTAGGAAGCTTCAGAACATCTTGGAACGCTTTGTCGGAGATCTGTGAGGATCTCAGCTCGTTGAGCAGCTCCTCCGACTGTGTCAAATGGATTCAAGTGGAACTACAATGAACTACATACGTGTGTGTCGACCAGGTGGGACTAGCAGTGACTAGCAGCGACTAGAATCCTGGTTGCAGTATTTTTTTGTGTTTTGTATTGTGTGTTTTGTGAGATTCTCAGCCTCCAAAGTCATTCGCTCCTGGTTATCAGCGGCCAATTCCACACCTGGCGGCATGGCATAGGGAGGTGCCTCAGCTCCAAGAAGTGAACGTTCGGAAAAGATCCTCTAGTTTACTCTATTGACTCTATTGCATACAATTGTTAGTTGTTCATCCGTTGTATATTCTTCGTGTATGTAAATATATATATACACACACATGGGATATGCGTGGAATCGCGTGGATATGAAAATGAAGTGATGAAATCCATGGTGATCGTCTAAGAACAACCACGGAAAGCATCGGAAAACATGGACAAAGTTGACCATCCGAGTTGACCATCCGAGTTGACCATCCGAGTTGACCATCCGAGTTGACCTCCATCTCAGCCGAGTTGCAGGCAACGGCTGATTCTCAGACACCGCAGGCACCACGTTGCTTGGAGCTGTTGGAGCTGTTGGAGCTGTGCCCTGGACGTTGCAGCCATTGCCACAGCCACAGTTCATGGCACCTCACAGGGCCCGGGCCCATCCGGGCCCAATGGATCATCTGAGACAGATTTGGTGAACAGTGTATGATTCATGGTATAATTAATTGTATGATATTGTATGATATTGTATGGTTCAATGCATGATTATAATTATATATAATATATAATTAAAAGGTTTGCCGTGAAAGTTTTGCATCCTCTTGCAAAACCAAACTAATTGCTGTTGCTCTTGTTGGTTCTGGAGACGAAGGTGGAGCTATCTCACTTCAAAGCCGGAACCTCCGCAGCCACAGCCCATCATGCCGCATCCTCCCAAGTTCTGTCGGTTAGTCGGTTTGGATCAGGCATCTGCACATCTGCACCACTCTGGAGCTTAAGTCACTGTCAGTTTTCGCTCCTCCCATCGGCATCATTTGGCCTTGCATCATCCCACCTTGGTGTTGACAAGCTGCAACATATCTACTGAATCTACTGGTATTGCCTACACTGAATGCGAAGCTTGTTCCAAAGCTGAAGTCCTGGCCAAAGCAACCAGGCATCATCTGAGTGCAGCAGTTCTGTCGAGAGTGAGTGAAGTTGGAGTGGAATGTAATGGAATGCAAATCAGAACATGGCGTATGAAAGTATCATAGTAATGGTGTGCGTGCCTGTAGACGTGCATACTGGAATCAATGGAAATTGCAGATATCAAATGAAATCATGTGTATTCATGTGTATTCTACAAACTCAAGATTCTTGAGATGAGGTAAGATGATATTAATTGTAAGCATATTGTAAGCATATGTTTCTGTATCTTTCGGACCCTCCATCACAATTCTGAATATTCTGAGCATCGGACACCCATCATGCCGCAGCCCATGCCACCCATCATGCCAAAGGCATCCATGCCCATGGGATACACCATACCAGAGCATTGCGCACCTTCAAAAGCTCAAGACATTGCCGAGGAAAAAGCAAAGTTGCGGCCGAAACACAACTGTCATAACTGTCATAACTGTCATAACTCATGGCTAGTGCGGCTAGTGCTCTGATGTGCTCTGGCCTCCTTGCAACGCAAGAGTTGCAGCCTGGAAGATCGAATCTGAAGGATCTCCACCTCCAAGGGACCGACAGACGCAGCAATCGCAAACGATCGCAATCGCATGCCCGGCATACCCTCCGTCTCTCATCGTCTCTCTAAGAGATCCACCGCGGTTTGCGTGGTCCTGGATGATTCGAATCGCATCTCCCTCGGCATGAGTGCATCGTAAAATCCCAGCGCAGCACGACATATTTGTGACTCAAACTGATCAAATATCCCAACACCGCATTTTTGGGGAAAGTCCAAAGGGCCTCCGAATTCTGAAGCAGAACGGACTTCGCTGCACTCGCCAAATTCGGCAAATGCCTTGCGAATGGCATCTTCTATCATCTGCCCTTGCCTATGTTGCGAAACTGTCTCAAGACCCTGCCTTTCCAACATCTCTTTCACCACTGATGATGATGCTGCAGGTGTCTGCGCAAACCAGCAAGGAAAGCCATTGGCCATTGGATATATCGCTCACATGTTTTGAAACGTGTGCATCATGATCAACTGCCTGCACCGGTGCGCAGCCACCCATGCTCTGTATCAAGTGAATGACCTCACTGATGTGACTTGATTCCGAAACTTGTGGGGGAGCACCTCCATTTTCTGTTGTCCATGGAAGTTTGATCCAAATGTCTGATATGTATGAAGTTGATTGTTGCATATTTTGTAGTTCAGAACTTCAGAACTGAACAGCTTGAGATTCATGCCCATGTCGATGCATCGGTGATCTCCGTTCTCCTGCCACACAAGTGAGAGGCATGGCAGTTTCTCCTGTCCATGGAAGTGCACTCAGCATCTCCGAGCCTGCTGACCAAAGTAGTTAACACTTGGATCACCTGGCATGGACAGTGATGGGATCTATCCATATTTTACCTATGGTAGAACCTATGGTAGAACCTGGTAGATGCTTCAACTGAAGTCATGAAATACAAAAAGAAATCTGTCAATTCGGCCTGGTCGGAGGCCAAGGAGCGGAGTGCTGTCAGAGCCTTGGAAATCTTGGAATTGCCCCAAATGTCCCCCCCCCATTCGAGTGAAATAATATGAAATAACTGTGTTCCAACCACCAGGGGTGAACAAATGCCCCTTGTAAATGAAGCCAGTATGACCCAACTCGCTGACGGTGATGCTGAAGATCCATAACAACTAACATGTGCGAATCCTTGATGGCTAAAAGCAATTTTAGAATTGCTGGAGAAAAGGCAGAAGTGGGTCCCAAGCATCATCCGTCAGTGCTGGACACTGCCTCAGCAACAGCCCAGCATAGCGCAACCCCAAAGAGGATCCATGAGGATCCCTGGACGTTCCAACATTCTCCACTGACATTTACTCCAAATCCATTTTTGGAAAGTCAAGCCTCCCAGGATTGTGGACCAAAACTGAAACATCGAGAATTTTGATCGACAGAGACTCAGGCTCCAGGAGCGCTGCGATCTTCCTTGAGACCTGCGATGCAAATGTGCACAGCCCCTGATCAGAAAAACAGCTGACAAACAGAACATTCAGAATATCATATGATTGATTATTAATATCATATTAATTCATATGATACATGTCTATGAATAGTATGTGTCTTCTTTAGATAAATATAATTCATACAACATTATGTATATAATAATTCTATATTTGATATGATAACTCCTGCAACATTAGTTTTTTTTCCTACAGTAACTCAAGTTGGATCAGTGAATCTACGTGAATCTACTGTCATCCCTTCAAGGACGCAATTGACACCCGTTTCACTGTGGGCAAGCGGCCTCTTTGTTGCCAGGATTGTGAAGGGCTTGGGCCGCTGCCAGGGCAGCTGCCAGCTGTCCTGTTTCGGCTTCTCGAATGAAACATATCCAGGTGGTCCAGGAGCCGGTGAAATTGGGGCATGATCAAGGCGAAAAGGTTCGATCAAATCTCTGGCAAGACTAAATGTGCGGCGTTGGCTGGACAGGAGGGGGTTCTTCTGCATGAAGTATGCCGGTGCATTCGTAATCCATGTTGTTTCGCTTTTGCGTTCTCAGCCGTACGTAGAATTGGCTGCTCTTCCAGTCCTAGCTTTACATTCGAAAAAGTAAAACGCTCAAATAGCTTTCAAGAACACTCTTCGGTGCAGCAATTGACATCAGCAAAAAGGGCTGCGGATGTTTGGATGTCTGTCTGTGCGCCGCTTTCGTGGTGCTGTGCAACAGCATTAAGAACTTAGAAGGAGTATCAGTGTGAGTTGTACTTCAAGTTCAAGCCTTGGTCCTGCAATTCAATGATGGTCCATGCTTTGTCACTATTTCTATGGCTTATGGCTGATGATGTTCAACATGTTTGCACTGGATTGAGACCACTGGCCTCCAACTAATTAGCCAGTTTTTCTATGTGTTTGTTCTTCTCATGCGGAACATTGTGAGTAATAATTTCAGATACACCGATACACCTAATTTCCGCAGCTATGGTGGCTGTGGCCATAGGAAAAACAGCAACAGATGCTACAGTATTTCTGCTCGCGGTTGGCACCTGCGTGAGCTCTCAGGGCAAAGTCTTGCTGAGCCTGTCATTCCCAATCCAAATCCGTGGTGAACATTCGATAGAAAACATGCCTTGGATCCTTGAGATCTTTGAGTCTGCAGGAAATATGTCCGTCCCGAGCTCTCCAGATTTCAGAGTGGTCACGCTCCTCCCAACACAGTTTCCCGCCATGATCTGCCATCAACTGACCCAGTTACCGCAACGCTGGGGTCCCTGCAGCACGACTTTCCTGCCGAAACTGGGGAAATGTCCACAGCATGGGCACCATTGGGGTTTGGTCATGGTCCATGGCCTTGGAACCTCATCTCCTTGCCTTGGCACTGTGACCCCACGCGAAACCCCTTGCGCAACAGATCCGATAGCACAACAAGGTGCGCTGCCCGTTCTGCCCTGGTTCCAACATGTTTCAACATTGACATCCCGACATCCCCTTATGATTTCGTTCACGCCCGAACGTGCTGCCGAGGCTGGCCAAAGGACCAAAGGACCAAAGGGCACCTGCGGAGCTGGCTTGGTCTCGGTGGTAGAACGCCTCCTCCAATCCAAGACCTGCACTTGGAATGCTGGGAATGTGGGTCACGTGGGTCACGTGGGTCACATCAAAGTTCTGTTGAAAGCTTACCAGAATTTTCAGCTGCCCTTGGAAATCGCACCCACTGTGTCCTGCCTGTGGTTTTTTAGGCAATCCCAGGGAAGCCGGCTTTGGCACCACTGGCGCTGGCTTCTCTAACTTTTGCTGAGGCAAATCCACCGGTTTCTGCATCTGATTCTGCATCTGCATTGGTTTCTGCATCCGATCCGATGGTTTCTCCTTCGGTGCTTCCTGTAGCAATGCCTCAGTGTTCAACTTGGCAGTCTTTGTTTTGATACGTACTGATGCAACTTGATGAGTTTGATCCCATTGAAATCCCATTCATATAATAATATATATATATATAATACGGTAATATATATATATATATTGTTATATATTCATAATATCCCATTGAGATCCCATTGAGATCCCATTGAGATCCATCCTCCCTGGAGAAAGCCGACCTGTCCCTGGCCCCACTGGCCCGACCTCCAACGAGTGCAACGCTGAGTTTAGCTGCGACAGTCCCCCGGCGTCCGGCTTCGAGGCCTGGCACGATGTGGCCACAGCACGAATGGCCAGTGGATGCAAAAAGGATTGGATGTTGGAAAATGTTGGGTTTAGGGTTGGAAAATGTTGGAAACATGATGAAATGATGTGAAATGATGTGACATGCTCAAAACCTTCGGCAGATCTTGGGTAAAGCCACTTGTAAATGACTCAAAGGGTAGGCTATGGCAAATTGTTTGAAGTGAGCTGGAAACCTACAAGAGTGATGGTGATGAGAGTCATGAGGACTCTTGCTTCAGGACGGGTGAAAAGGAGAAAATCGATGACAAGCAAAGTGCAGCCACGTATGCTCCTATTGCGACAGTGATTGCTGTATCCTACAACCATCCCACGGCTCCGTAACCTACAGAGCAAACATGACACAGGGCAGTTCTATTGTGGAATGTTGACGCGTGAAGCCCTGAATAACCTATGCCACCGATGACACACGACCATAAGATTCACAAAAGATTCACAAAAGATTCACAAAAGCATGTAGAAGCGTGACACACCCGTCCAAGATCGTCCAAGATATTCCAAGATCCTCCAAGTACAGATCTGTCTGCGCCTGGTTGGGAGGCGAGGGGCTCCTTGTGCCGCATGTCATGAGTTGTCATGCGAACACGAGACATGGACAGAGTGCTGGCTCCTCGGATCTTCAAATGCTTTCATTCCTTCAGTTTCAATCAGACTGATAGCTGCAGCTGCTGATAGCTATCAGCTTAGACATGCTTAGACGATGTCATCTGAGATTCGAAGATATTCTAAGATCACAGTGTAGCTTCCAAGACTCCCTGCCTTTTGTTACAAACTTCTTTGGGCTTTGTCGCACGCTGCGACTTCGGCTCCGCTTTCGCTTACGATCCTCCACGCACCCACGGATGTTGCTCCCTGATAACATCTGATCACCAAAGCCGGTGGAATCAAAAACCGCAAAACTACTCTGGGCCCACCTTCGATGTCGAACTGCGTCGCTTCCGGTCCTGCCATTGTTGATCATTGTTGATGATAAACCAAAGAGGAAAAGAAGCAAAGCGCTTATCATGTTTGCGTCATACCTCCATCCACTTGCATCAAGTCCAGAACGAAAAGCATGAGTTTTTGAAATTGATTTGACAAACTTTCTTCATTTTTCCTCAGCCAAAAAGCCAAAAAGCATCGCCATTTTCGCAGCGCCTTCCGACGGTCTCGTCGCTTCTCGCTGCGCTCGCTGCGCTCGCTGCGCTCGCTGCGCTCGCTGCGCTTGGCGCGGCTCTTGTGGCGGCTGCGGCTCTTGCGCCGATGGCTCCGACTGGCGACGTGCAGAGCCCAAGAGAAACAAAGGAAACGAAGAGATGTCATGAGATGTCATGAGATCACCAGTTGGTGTAACACCTCTGAATATTCCTGAAGGCTATCATCAAATCTGAGACTCTGGTCCCAAAATTAGCCAGAAATCCAAAATATGCAGAATGTATCTCGATTTTCTGCAGAATCTACTTGTCACTGAGGCAGGCACGACTTGCGCTTTTTCCGGTTTGAGCTAGAGGATCGCCTAAACCAACCCAAGACAATCCGGGATAAATCCATCAAAATATAGATTCATGACACAGGCTGTGACACAGAGCATTTCTGCATGACCCATCCTGAGCAGAGACATTCAAGAATCAGCAGACCAATTTGGAATCCGAGAATCCACAAAGTCTGTGCCAGACCCATTGGGAGCTGAAATCTCAGAGTTGTTCCGACGGAAATACATCATGATGAGATGTTCATCCATCCATCTATTTATCCGGCTATATGTGGAACAAATGGTGAGGGCGTACACACAACTGGGATATCTGGTTATGTGGGGCCATGTCTCAAAATCAAGTTCTCTCCAAACATGAACTGGATAAATATGGATAAATATAATTAGTCTTAGCCTTCGCAGGATACCTGAGAGTTTCTTTCAGACGTATCCAAATCAGGTGCCTCTTACCCCTCCGACTGCGTGAAGCCTTCGCCTCAAACAGTGCCCGAAGGACTTAAGCATGAACGACAGTTAGGCAAGAGACAATCTGTACAGTACAAATCTTCGTGTAATCATGTGTAATTGATGAGTTGTTCAATGAGTTGTTCAATGAGTTGTTCAAGCGAAACTGCATCGTTCAGTGAGAGGATTGAACATCATTTCTGTGAATGTCAAAGATGTCAAAGTATAGAATCGTTCTATTTCGTTCTTGTGCCTGCCGCTTCCTCTTGGAGCGACTCCGCTCCCGATCCTGCAAAATGTACGGAAAACTAGGCAGTAGTTCAAGGATGTTCAAGGTATTTGGCGACATCTGATGACATTTGGTGTGACATGGTGTGACAGTGGCCAGTGTCAGGGGATGTCAGGGGATGTGGGGGTCTCCTTCTTGGGACGTCCAGACCGCGATCTAGAACGCTCCCGCGGTTTGAGCAGGACGCGAGTCTCCTGAAGTGAAGAAAATCGGGGTCACGAGTAGCCAACAGACTGGTGTCTTGGCCTTGCCAAACTGGTCCTTGTACAATGGCCAACCTGATGACATCAGGCTTGGTATAGATGTGACGCCAAACGTTAAACAATCAAGACTGAGCTATACACAAAGGATCAGAAAGCACAAAACCTGACTAGCTGTGATCGACACACCTGGCTTCGGCGCAAAAAATCTGGAAGAGAATTGAAATGTTCCCCCGTCACTCTTTGCAGTAAACCAATCGAAGCAAGGCAGCCGAGCATCCCCTTGAAAAGGTGCATGTGTGTATCTGTAATTACATATACACACATATAGGATATAGTTATATAGATAAGTTAGATACATGTATTATATAGTAGACATGATGTCAGCATAGATATGGGCCTTATAGGGTTTACAGGTGTGTTGGGACCGTCTTGAAGTTTCAAGGGGTTGCTCTTTCGGAAGCCCTGGAAGGATTGGTTCCCTAAACGGTGAACTGGTCCTTCTTCTTGTCGCTAGAGGACTCTGAGCTTTCCTCGTCCTTCTCTTCCGTATCTTTGCCCTTGACATCGTCGTCATCCTCGTCCTCATCAGATGCATCATCATCCTGCTCATCGTGCTCGTCCTTTTCGTCACCCTCTATCTCACCGTCTTCTTTCTCCTCGTCATCCTCATCCTCACCCTCTTCCTTCTCGTCTTCGTCTATCTCACCTTCTTCCTTCTCATCCTCTGGATCATCGTCCTCTTCCTTTTCCCCCTCATCTTCCTCATCTTCCTCTTCTTCCTCTTCTAGCTCATCCTGATTCTCAAATGCAGGAGGCAATCTGTCAAAGCAACGCAAGACTTCCAGGCAGGAGTCCTACCAATAAAAAATAGCTTCAGCATTTTTCCCTAGCCTATCTGTTTGCAAACGCTTCCATATATTCTGGAACTCTAGCTGCTTTGTACTGCTTTGAAGACCACTGATTTGTGTGGTCCTCCGATGAATCTGCATCATCCTGATGGCACATCATGATGATTGGGATGGCATTGTGCAAACATGATCACTTAGTATCACTGACATATAAGATACATACAAAATACATATCACTTACATATGTCCAAGATGCAGACAAAACATGACGAAACATGGAATTATATTTGAATCTGCAGGACATCACTGGCATCATTGGCATCATTTCTCATTTTTCTGCGCTCAAAAGGGTCGATCTCCTTGCTAATATATCACACTGGCAAAGAAATCAAGGAGATCGACAATAAATGTGTTATACAAACAATTTGTTGAACAAAGGACTCAACCAGCTCACCAGTTGCAAAGAATTGTACCTGGGAGGTGCTGCATTGCTTCATGGCGGGAAGGGCCACAAGAAGTTCTTTGTGAAATCGGATTCTGTTGAGCTTCTTCTGCATGAGCGTAGGATGGTTTCACACGGAATGGAAAGAGCACATGTAAGTTCAGGTTGCAACTGACGAACAAGTTATTCATTGAGGAGGCATTCACTTGGATGTGCACAAGGAAGCTAGACAGAAATGGTTGCTACGTCCGTGTGTGCACAGTCTATGAATGGAAAGTTGTGAAGAAAGTGTGAAAAGTGGAACCTTCGTGACCTTGGTAACCATGAATGAGGTGTAGGGTATTCACCATGTGGATAAACTCGTACGACAGGCGGTCTCTCATGCTTGAAATATGGCATCTTAAAGCCTCGTAAAATGAGCTGATGAACTGGAGATATGTTTTGAGCTGCTGCAAATGGCCGGAACGCATGGTCCGAAGCTTGCAAAAGCAAGATGCAACATGCAAGGGGGCAGGATAGCGGCTGCTGTAAGGTTCAACCGGTTCTGAGATCATTCAGTGAACAGCAAAGCGACAAAACCATACAAAACCTGGATCTTTCCGAACTCTAGGATCAAAGGAGCATCTTCGATCAAATAAAAAGAACTTATTGTCCTTAAAAGTAAGACAACAAAAGAACATGATTTAGCAAATTCAACTTCGGTGTCCCTGACATCTCTGCCATGTCACTGGATCAAGTTGCTGCTCCTATCATTTTTGGCCGTTGGCACGTCACACTGTGAGAGGCATGACTTTCAGCCCTTTGGCCTCCGAGGTCTGTTTCAAAACAGGATGCGGAACGAAAACATCAAGAAATCATCTTCATGGTTCCAATTTCAAAATGGGACTATTCCTCACCAACCTCTATGCTTTTAAGTTTTTAAACAGGCCTACTGCAAGATCTTTTCTTGCCACTCATGTGAACCCTGCTGTACAGTCCCAACGGCGATGCCTGAAGGGCCTAAGGGATCACTGTCTACAGCGGAAAGCTCTGGTTCAGGGCCGGTTCAGGGGGTCCGGGGGCTCATCCGTTTCTTGGAAGATACTTCTGAAATGATTGAAATGGGTCTGTGACGGTCTGTGATCATAGTGATCTGTTTTTCAAACGATTAAACTCAATCATGCAACGCCGCCCAACCCTCACAGGGAAGAGGGTGCTCCAAAGGTTCTTCAACAAGTGTCGTTGGAGTTTCACACCAAGCACATCACGCTGACTCAACGGTGTACTGGAAAGGTCCGTTGTCTCACTGTGAACCTGTGCGAGCAGGGCATACCCTAAAAACACAAAGCAATGGCAAATCATGATCGTCCTTTGTAGCATTCCCCATTTGTTGGAGCCGCTTTTTCCATGCCTCACCACACAGCACCCTCTGAAAATCGGTGATTTTTTCAACCGGAGCCTTGGAAATGTGGGACCGACGAGGCTTCAGAACCTGAAAGATGCCGCACGAAAACAGCACACGGCCTGTTTGCTTCATGGGCCTGTGTGACACTCTTCTGGCCACTCTGTAGATGTGCATTTTTCAAAATGATTTTCCTCCATGATGCGTCACATGTGATGCGTTTGGCTCTTCGTGCAAACAGAGCGAACAGGAGTCGCCTAGATGCCCAGGACGGCAACTGATGCTAAGGACAGCACCAACTCTCAGTTGCTCCAATTGAGCGCTTAGCTCTTCGTTCTGTCGCACCAACTGTTCTCTCTCAACTCGGTGGTAGTCAGCCTTCCAGTCTTCATGACTAGGTCTGAGGGCATATAATGAGCAGAGAAATATCAAAGTTTGGAAACTTGATTGAAACAGAACATCGGATGCATTCTGCCAAACCGCTTATCACGCAATGCCCGTAGACATTGAATGCGAGTTTTCTCAAATTCTCAGACTCTCAAATGTCACACAGTCCGAAACCAAGGCCCCCAATGCAGCAGCTACGAAACCCGTGCTGCAGCACCTGGATTGCCAGCTGCTTTGCAAGCTCTTCTTTAATCATCTTGTCAATCTGAGCATGCTGGATCCTGTAGCTGAAAGGAACCATGAATCCTGGAAGTGAAACATGACTCTATGAATCGGCATTTTCACTGCATCATCACAGGATAACGGTTAACGGTTAACGGGTTCTCACCAGCTTTCGAACTGTCAAATCAGTCAAATCACCATGTGCCTGAAGAAAGAATATGAAGGATCCAAGAGTGCACAAGTCAGAACAAGGCCATGGCGGCTATGTGGCTTGAAAGAAATCGCTGTCTATAGGCTCGGCAGCCCGCAAGGTGCTCTGCACATGCCGTCCGAGGTTCGACAAGGCGTAGGAGTCTTGAGGAACCGCCGGTAGCGCCTCTGGCGCGTCCTGGAATGCAACAAGAAATCGTCTAAATCTGTCCGATCTGTCCACTTGGCGGCTCAATTCACATCCGTTCGCGGTGCCTTCGCCACATGTCAGGGCCTACATCTTGAGCCCGGCCTGTGAGACTGGGAACATCTCGAAGTCGCCAGCATTCTTTTTGACCTTCTCCTCAGCTGACTTGGCTAATGGCCTGGTTGGAAAATGCTCAACACACCTGCAGCTTGACAGCTTGACAGCCGTGTCAAAAAGCCACTTCTTGCAGATTCTGAGATTCATTCACTTCTGATAACAGCTTGTCTATCTGTCTGGCATTGTCTATTGTCTGGCACTATCTCTCTTTAGATTCTCTAGAAACCGAATCATTTCGATCATTTCAGTCTTCACTCATCGTCAGCCAAATTAGGCCGCAAGTCATTTCATTGCAAAAAAAAGGAAAAGGCCATCTGGCCGATTTCCCCCAGGCAAAAGCACAAGATTCTTCGGTGGATCGGGAAATCTGTCTTGTTGAACACGTACTTCATGTTCTCCAACCCTGTGAGAGACTCCAATTGCTGCTCAGCTTTGCCTTTCTTGTCCTGCACCTGCAGTCACAACGTGCAAGAAATGGCTATGACTTATGACTAGTTAAAACCCTAGCACCCTGCATACCCTATCCTAGCTGGTACCCATCCACAAATGAGTTTGAAGAACGATCTGGAGACCATGCAGAAGCTGGAAGTCAGTGGAAGCCACGATGGCCAACACAAACAAATGGGGGAAAACATATCTCTGTCACAAGATGTCACAAGCACACCTGAGCTGTGTTCAAAATTCCTTTTGATCTCCTGGGCGAGAATTCAAAGCTTACATAGGAGCTTACGTTCGCTTACGTTTTCCAAGGTTTTGCGTACGACACAACAACTTCAAAGAACTAGCTTTCGCATCTCTTACGGCAAACTTTCCCGGCAAACCAAAGAGTGAAGTTTAGTGAAAAACACGTGCTGGGAAGATGCATTTTTGTTACTATATGCAATGGCATAATCATCGACATTCAACAGCATGCAATAGCATGCATCAAATGAAGCACACAACCTTGTTTGAGCCCCAGCTCTCATGGCCCGACATGGACTTACGAACGGCCTACGGCTTATGGCAACATGTTTGTGACCAATGCTTACGTCAAACCTTTCGCACTGCTTACGAAACCCAAGGAAAGTCTTACGACTTGATGGAGTTTATGCAAGCCCAATACTAAACAAGTAAGGGGGGAATTTAGAACGCTGCTCACCTGGCCAAGTTCCATCCTCTGCTCTTGCAACGCCATGTTCTTTTCGTTGACCTTCAGGGATTCACTCGGATCTTGACCTACCTTTGTGTACGGTTCCAATACTCGGTGGCTTGCAGCAAGTCAAACTCCCCTTAGCATTCAACATAGACAAAACACATGTAAAAAAAATCAACGGAGCACCTCAGCCTGTCACTTCAGGATCGAAGTGGAAATGTATTCAATCTGTGTTGATTTGCTGGAGATTCCTCCGAGTACCCTCGTGTCAACATGTAACAATAGCGACACTTCGTCCAGACCAATAGCTAAAACCAGCCACTGCAGCAATGTGGAATGGAATCCGGCCAAATGGCCTCGCTTTTCTTTTGGGCAAGGTGATTCCTAGGTTCAACGTCCACGTGTCAATGCAAGAACGACGACTCAAAACTGCCTGAAATGCAAAGATATTATTGAAAAGGCACAGGATCTTCCACCCGTGTTTGGTAAACTATTGCATGCCCCTTGGTCGGGAACCATGGTACCTCGATGATCCTCGATGTGCATTTTACTTTGTCCAGAAGAGCTTGAAAACGTCGCAGCATGTCCCAGCTATCTTCACAAAAGTTGGGAAGTTGGTTTGAACTTGCCCAAAGCTGAATGCAAGGACATGAGTTTTAGATAGTTTTGGCCTAGGCTCCGAGGTCCTGTCCCTTGTTCTAATTTCTTCAAATCGCACTCGCATTTCGCCAGCTCCTAAAACGCAAGAGACGGACAGCATTGAGGGTTTCGTCAGTACCAGTAGCGGCAGTAGCGTTTCAATTTCATCGCAATGGTCACCAAACATTCTCAGACACCGAAAGACTAAGAAAAGTTCCGATGGAAAAAAAAATGAACCCAAAGAGTATCCCCAACAGCCAGAAACAAAAACAGCTACCAAACACGCAATGGGTGAAGTATGTTTATTGCACAGCCCTTCTTACTGTAGAGGTCGGGCGTGCAAGGCGCAATCACGGCACAAACACTTTATGAAAAACCGTTTTTTCCAAAAGCGTTTGCAATACTGTGGAAGCTGAAGGGCCAATATTCCCGAAGCTTGTGAGAAGGGTTTTTCTCAAAGAACTGCTGTCCACCTCACTCTTCACTTCATCTACCTAACATACATCATCCACATCTCTTATGTCCTTTACATCACCTACATCTTCTACACCATCTTCTACACCATCTTTTCTACCTCTACAACTACAACTACATCTACATCTACATCATCATCATCATCATCATCATCATCATCATCATCGTCATCGTCATCGTCATCATCATCACCACCACCTACATCTGTTTCACCTACATTACCTACACCCCCTACACATTTGTCCGTCAATCTCATCTATATGACATGCCTTTTCTGCAACACATACATTACCTACATCATCATCTACATCACTGCATCCTCTACATCACCCACATCACCTACATCTTCTGCACCATCTTCTCTACATCATCATCATCATCATCAGCAGCATCAGCATCATCTATCTCACCTACACCATCGACATCACCTACACAAACTTTTCCCATTAACGTCATCTACATGACATACACCATCTACAACGCATACATGACCTACATCATCATCTATATCACTACATCCTCTACATCGCCTACATCTTCTAGTCGATCTAACCTTACATCACTTACAACATCATACTCATCATTTACAATATAGACAGCATCACAAAACATCAGCTTCTAGGGAACTCCTACAAAACTGGAAATGTCATTTACACAGGAGTTGACTTGCAGGTGATCCACTTCTACTTGAACTCCTACACGACTCCTGCAAGGTCATTTGCACAGAAATTGTTACACCGGATTTGCTACACAGGCGTTCAGCTAACTTCCAGGTGGTCAAACTGTATCTGAACTCCTGCAAAATCAGACTTCTCCAGTTCTTCTATTTCTCTCTGGCGGCAGGGACAGCCAGGCGGTGGCTTACGAACCGTTACCCTCTGCGGCGTGCCGGACACCCAAACGTGTGGCGAAATGCGGGTCTTGTTTGTCCTTGGGCAACCCTCTGTGGAGATCGCGCGTGTCGGATGGGCAAACATGTGGTGTGGGGAAAGGCTTCGCCCGCAGCAACCGTCTGCGGAGATCGTGCGTTTCAGACGCCCAAACATGTGGTGGAATGTGAATTTCTTTTGGGCACGGGCAACCCTCTACAGAGATCGCGCAGGCCGGACATCCAAACATGTGGCAAAATGCAAATTTGGTGAGGCCCGGCGCAGCCCCTTCGCACGAAATGAGGGTCAACCGTCAAAAACTGGTGTAATATTGTGATTGAAAGTCGAGATGCAAGCGTGGCACGAAAGTCAAATGGCAATAACTGTGGGAAAACTGTGATTTTTTAATGCCAGATGCAAACGTTCAAGAATTGGTGTAAACTTGCGAGTTTATCCATTTTGAAACGTCAGGCACAACTGTTTCGCGCGAAATAAAACTTGTGTAAAATTGCGATTTTACAAGGTCAGGCGAAAGCCTTTCACGCAAAATGATTGTCCAAGGTCAAAATTTGCGATTTTCCAACGCCGGATGCAACCCTTTCGCACGATATGATGGCCGAACGTCAAAAACTTAAGTTAAATTGCGATTTTTTGAAGCGTGTAAAAGCTGCTCTGTGGAATCGGTTTTTCTGTGGGAAAGCGTCTGTGTAAAGGCTTCTCTGTGCAAAAGCTTCTGTGCGCAAAAGCCTCCGTGTGTACAAGCTTCTGTGTGTAAAGGCGTCTGTGTGTAAAAGCTCCTGTGCGTAAAAGCTTCTCTGTGTAAAAGCTTCTGTGGAAAAGCTTGTGTGTGTAAAACCTTCTGTGTGTAAAAGATTCTCTGTGTAAAGGCTTCTCAGTGTCAAAGCTTCTGTGATTCTCTGAGAACAATCTGTGTCTAAAAGCTTCTGTGTGTATAGGCGTGTATATGTCAAAGCATCTCTGGGTAAATGCTTCTGTGTGTAAAGGCATCTGTGTTCAAAAGCTTCTGTGTGTAGAAGCATCTGCCGCATCTGTGTGAAGAATTTTTGTGTAAATGCCTCTGTGTAAAGACCTGTCTGTGTAAAAGCTTGGGCATTTGCGTGTTTAAAGTTTCTGCGCATATAAGATTGTAAAAGCTGCTCTGTGCAAAGGCCTCTCTCTGTGTAAAAGCTTCGGTGTGTAAAAGCTGCTCTGTGAACAAGCTTCTATGCGTAAAAGCTTCTGTGTGTAAAAGCTCTGTGTGTAAAGGCGTTGTGTCTTGCCTAACCTCTGTAACAGTGGCACGAAGTAGGGCACCATGTGGTGCACGAAGAAAACCGCAAAAAAGCACGATTTGGTGCACAAAGAAAACCAGAAAAAAAGCACGATTTGGTGCACGAAGAACGCTCAAAAAAAAACACGATTTGGTGCATG